TTGTATTGTTTAATTTACATCTTGTAGTATTAAAGAGGAACCATACGTTTCCAGCTGGCATGTCTTCCAGGATGGTTTTTAACTGGGTCACTTGCACATGTTTTTGGCCATCTGTTATACATTTTTAAAAGTCCTTATTTGGCCTAAGTGTCTACTTATTATTTTATTATAACATTACTGTATTCCTTTTTCTGTAGATAGTGTATTCCAAACTTAATACTGTATATGGCAGTGTTGTAAAATTAATTCCTATTTAAAAATTATTTTCTAGATGCACAATGAAATTACCAAGTATCTGTGACATTTTTTTTCTTTGTCGTTTTTCTTTTCATTACTGCATCATCCACGATTTCTTTTGCTGTGCTAGTTTTCCTTCAGATTTCTGGGGAATTGGAATACTTACTGGAAAATGACTGAGCAGCTTCAGGTATTCTTTTCTCTTAATTTAAAACTCAGTACAGTATTATTGATCAGAAGAGAGTTTGGGTCATTTAAATTAAACTTTAATTTCTACAGGTCACAAATTTTAACTACCAAACAAGATACAGCACAGAAAAATATAAGTACAGTACTGTAATTTCACTTCATTACAAGCAGTAGTTTCTGTATCAGTAACATATGGAAGATTATTGCTCATGGATTTGTTTCATCTGGAAAAAAAAATTGAATTCTGAGCAGAAAATGTGGGTAGAGGAGCTTGATTGCATGGGTATACTTTTATTACTTGGCACACGATTGAAAAGTGGAAGATGAATAATATAGGTAGATAAAACAAGAAATTGAGGCGTGGAAAATGTTCCATATTTCAAGTGACTGTTTTGCTCTAGTCATGCTTGGAAAACTTGATGTCTCCAGTAGGCATTTAAGTGTTGACAGTGCCTGGTGATTTTTTCTTCTTTTTTGGCCTTTGCTTATGGGATTTGCCCTGTTTTTCTGTATCAAAGTGAAAGTGGTTTTATTCGGGCAGTGTTTTCCAAATTTTAAATACTATAGTGGTGCTCCCAAACTTGGCAAAGTTACGCTTGTGCCTGGCCCTCCTTCACATTAAAATAATTTTTGTAGGCGATAACTGCAAAATCAATATTTTCATTAATATTTCTTTTAATAGTATTATGTAACAAACTTTCATGACCGTACTAGCAGAAAATATTTTACTTAAGTACAGTTTGTTAATGGGCTTTTCTGACAAGATAGGACACTGTACAGCCTTTTGACAAACAGCTAAAAACTAAGAGGTTGCTGGATTACTAAATAAATCGGTTGCTCTTGTTCAGAAGTTGTCAACACAGTGTGTCAGCAGCAAATGGATTTCTCATCCATTTAAGTTTTGACATTTATTTCCTTCAAAATAAGAATATTTCTGTAAAGCATTCTATTATTTAATTAATATTTCATTGTTTAATTCCACTTCATTGGTATGAAGAAATCTTTGATGGCAGGAACATGATAAAAAACATTTTGAAGTTCTTTTCCATAATTTTTTTTCTCGTGAACACGTGCACTTTGTTGTTTTAGGTCAGAATAAGGGTTTGAGGACCTTGGATTGACCAATTTTAATTGTTAAAGTTTTCAAAAATGCTTACCAGACTATTAACAGTATGACAGTACTGTACATGACTACTATCCATTTTTCAAAGTTAAGATGAGCTTTGGTGGCATCATAGTCCCAAGATTTGATGTCCTTGTCCCATAGGCCATAAATTAATCTGATTGATTTGTAGATTTTAAGCATTTTGTCCATTTCTTGTATAGTTTTTGTGAAGGAGATTATTGAAAGTATTTTTCACAATGAAGTTAGTACCCCATTTGATTTCATTTTGTCATGGGGTCAGTACTGCTCCGTAGCAGAGGAAACATTTTATGGGTTAATAAGGTTTCCTCTTTTTGAGAGTTCAAGCTGTTTAGGTGATCTTAAGGCTTCAAAATTCAGTGTTAGGAAAATATGTCGGACATTCTTTGTTGAGGGCAGGGACCCTTGTTTGAATTTTCCTAGTGGGTTCTGTGATGGAATAATGCAGACAAGTTGTGAGTGATAAGGAATGTAGAGGGAGTATGTAGAACCTTGTACCATTTGGCTCCATCCTTAACAGTAATTGCCCTTGGATGTAGCTACTATACTGGATCTCCGTGAAACTGACATCGGATAATGAATGATGAATTGATGCAGGATATTTCATTGCAAAGCTGCCTTCCTCCCATAGGGTTTCTTGAAAACTTTGGCTGGACTGAGGCTGTCCCTGGAAAAATCAGCATGGCAGATAGTGAATGTAAGAAGGCAGGGTTGTGTGTGCCAAGACTTACTTGGCATTTGGCCTTCAGTGGTAGCTGTCAACTTGGGTCTTTTAAGGCTGATGGCTGCAATGGGAGAGAAGGCACTCGTTAAATTAGTACGAACCATCAATGCTCTGGGTTGGGGACCTGTATTCTTGCAAATTACTATACCCCTGTACACAAGTTTCCTTATCCATGAGTCACTAAGTGGGATTTCAGAATTATTCCATATTTTTTTCTGTATGGCAGGCAAGTACTGTACAGTACAGGGTCCCCCCAAATTCGCTGATTTTTATTTCACAGTCCTCGATTATTCACGGATGACACTGGATACACCCAAGAATGTCTGTGGGTAGTTTTAAAGTTGCTGACATTATTGTGGCTGGGACAGGGAGCCATTTGTTCTAGACAGTAATTTTCTTTATCTGTATTGTAAACACGTGTGTAGACACAAAAAATGCATCCAAATAAATAATGGAAAAATACTCTCACAGATAATAAAAAACCAAAAATTTATTAAAAATGCGAGTCTACCCTCAAGTCCGTGCTTTATTAGTCAAGTAATAAAGCACGGAGTTGAGGGTCGACTCGCATTTTTAATAAATTTTTGGTTTGCGAGCATTTTCCCATTAGTATATATTTATATAGGTAAGTGTTTTGTGAGTGTCTACACACACACACACTAACAATACATATAAACAATCAGAAACAAATTTATTAGAAATGTGAGTCTACCCTCGAGTACGTGCTTTATTACTTTATTAATAAAGCACGGACGTGAGGGTAGATTCGCATTTTTAATAAATTTGTTTGATTATTTGAGTTTCTCCATTATTATTTATTTGTTTATTTTATTTGTTTAATTTTTATTTTTATTTTTTACGGGGATTAGCCCACCCGGGCACAGGTCACTGTCCCACATCGGGGCCTGTGTGTGGGGGGCGGCGGAATGTAGTAGTACAGGTAATAATAATAATAATAATAATAATAATAATAATAATAATAATAATAATTCACAGTAAATAAAATTTATAATAAAAAAATAAAACATCAAAAATAAAATAATAATAATAACACTAATGTTAATAATAATAATAATAATAATGAAGAACCATAAAGAAATGCAAAAATAAATATAAAGAGAAACAATATACAGTATGTATGTTGTGTTGTCAATAGTAAGAGAAACAATTGAGACCCTGCAATTGTGTGTAAATGAGGCAGAAAGTCAGATCAGCAACCTGGGACTTGGTCACAATTTTATGATGCCATATGGCAGCAATATCTTCCCAAATGGTACAGTAGTACTTCCCTGTTTGGTAGCTGCCTACTACCTACCTCTGTGTTAATAATAATTAACGGTTTATTGAAAGTTCTGCAGCCCGAAGGCTGAAAATATACACGAGACAAAAATGACATGTTATATACTAAGACATTGGGTGGGTGGGTCATTTAACAAAAGCTTTCATTACTGAAAGGAGAAGGAACTTGAATTGAACATACAAATTATTATAGTTTACAGTTGTTGGCCCAGGCCTGGACTGGTCATGGAGACACCAGGGGGTGTGGTGTTCACGTGGTGTAGTAACTCGTCCTCGGGTGTTGATATAATAATAATAATAATAATAATAATTAACGGTTTATTGAAAGAGCTTGGCAGCCAGAAGGCTGAAAATATACAGTTACATATTTGGGGAATGGGTTACGAATTACAAATAATATAAAAGTAACATAAGTGACACAAATAAGATATATAATAACTAGATGGGGAAAAGCTCAAACTACAGTTCATTTCAACATAGTGACAGTGCAAGGAGTAGTGTTTACTGGGAGTGAATACATTGATATGAAGGACCTCATGTGGGCAAGGGGACACCGGGTGGTATGGTGTTCACACGGTGCAGTAACTCGTCCTCGGGTGTTGATATGAACAACCTCACGTGGTCATGGGGACACTGGGTGGTGTCACTACCTCGCCCTGCTGGGTGGTGTTATCTCGTAGTCAGGTGTCAAGCTGACCCACTGTTGTCCCCATGGTGGACTGATTAGCACCTCCTGTTCAGAAGATGGTGGTCAGTTCCCAGGGGTGCTTATCTCACTGGTTGGTCACAGCTTTCACTGGTACTATCTAGTGCTGAATTCACTGGCTTATACACTGGTCATCACTATTCAACACTGGTCCCACTTCTTTCCGAAACGAAATTGTCACTTTTGAGTATGTTGATATCCCGGTGGTGAGGATGGGTCGGGGAGAGGGACTTTGGGAATGGGCCGAACATTGGCCAAGGGGGGCCACTGCTCAGCGGGAGCATCGCCTAAATAGGTCCCGACCCTACGGTGGTCTAGGATGTAGTCTGTGTGTCTACACAAACATACAATACAGGTAAAAGAAATTGTCTTCAGGGCAAACACATTAGGGAATATACATTTCTTTGTACACAAGTTAAAATGTAACAACAACCCCCCCCAGCAAATATTATTTGCGGCCATTTTGAGAACCTAAAGCGAATTTTTTTTGGGGGGGGGCCTGTACTATAGTTTTGGCTTCAAATAGTAAAGGGAACATACAGTACAGTACACTGTACAGTATATGAAAACTGGGTCTGCTGTGGTTCATATGATTTCTATTAGTACAACAAATTTCTTTTAGAATCTAGACAGGCGTCGGCATGAAATAATGATGAAACAATTACTTTTTCCTTTATCTACATTATTATTTTTTCTTTCAGAGGGACACATATCCCCCAGAAATTGTATATTATCAGTGGAGCCGTTGGGAGGCTTGCTGACACAGTCTTGTATGTGTGCGTGCGCCTCAGACTTTCCCCTTGATATTAGGTAAGTTTTTGTTTGTGTTTGGTAAGAACTCTTGAGCTTGTATACAGTAACTTTGGTGTGGAGGGTAATAACGAGATGGTGTTCATGTGATTGATTCTCCCATGGTGGTTTAAGTGCCCTTCTGGGTTATATATGGATTGGCTGGGAAAGTATTTGTAAGTAAGCTGTAATTAGTAGTTGGACTAAGTGAGAAGGCTTAATAGTACTCTACATAAGGTCTCTTATTGTAGGTTAGTGCCTGGCCAACCTTGCTTCATGAAATGATGCCCATTAGTGTTTTGTGCATCAATAATCTGAACCATCTTATAAATACAACCATATAAACTTTTCATTTAATGTGGTGCAGTAGTTGTCTGTTGATCTGTAATAGACTTCAATAATCTAGAATTGTTTATGGGAAATGTTTCTAGTGTCTTAGTTCTTTAGTGATTTAATATACCCACGGTGAGACAGGGAAAAAGCCAGTTATTGAAAAATGTTAAACAAGGCACATTTTCCTATTGACATGCATATACTTTAATGGGTACCTGTACAGTATTATTTGAAGATGCATTCCTGAGTAAAGATTACAGCTTGGTGTTACAAACAAAAGATACAAGTTACAGTAAATACATGTAATAAGTATTTTAAATATAATACATGTATAAACATTAGTAGAAATAGTAAAATGAATAATTATAAGAAGTGAGCAATTAAGATAGAAATTAACACTAAGTTGATGTACTGTACTTGTTAGTCTCAAAGTTTGAGTGTCTTCAAACACCTCGGTCATCACTAGTTTGCTTATGCTACTTGACATCACTATTTGGCAAAATAGATATTGTGTACAGTACTTTACAAGTGTATTGTAGCAGGGTAACAATACATATAGTGGAGAAAGGTAGTAATTTGTCAATTACATTACAGTGAAACTACATTGAGTGAAGTTACATATAAGTGGGGGTTTACCTGTACTCTATAACCAAGGTATGAGACAGGGTAAGTGTTGCTGTTTGTACAGTATCTTAGTTTCTTAGGCTTTTGGTGTACCGACCTTATCTACCTTGGGTGTTGAATAGTTCAATTTTGAAGACTACAAATGGTATTGTTAACATTGTATGTATCTGAAGTGTAGAAGACTTGTCACTTTCCTATAGTGAAGGTGACTTGTTGGAAAATTGAAAAGATTACTACAAGCAGCACCTAAGATACCACAAAGATGCAGAAATGTGATTTTGTTTAGTCACCAAGAGTGACCTTAATCTCTGACTCCGTGTTCCCAATGTCACTAGGACCCTTTCTCTCCCTAGGGACATGTTACCTGTTTAATATCCTTGGTGTTTAGAATCTTAGGTTGTGGGTTCAGAAAGAATTTGAAATGGGACAAATTGATGACCTCATACCATTATAAACTCGGCCTTTGTGGATGTATAAAAAGTGGCAGAGAGAATGTCAATGAAATAAAAAAAAAACATTTGGAAGAGTTACTAAAACAAGGGTTATTACAGCGCAGCCTAATGTGCTATATTTAACACAGCCAGAAGTCAAAGTGCTTGATAAATTATATTAATTATTGAGATTAAATAGGTTCTCTATATACAGTAACAGGATGTTGGAAGGACTGTTTTGCCATATTTGTCAAAGGTGGTTTCAAATGGCTATATTGTGCTGTACAGTATTGAGATGCAACATATTAAAACAATAGACTTCTGTTATAGTGTACGTGCTGAAATATAAAGGGATGCACCTTTTGTGTATTGTAGCTGTAATAATGAATGAATGAATGTGTTTGGATTTGGTCTCATTTCCAGCCAACCTGCAGTGGACTGGGAAAATGTAGATTGTTGGGAAAAATGCGCGTCTTTGCTATACGTACAGTACAGTATAGTATTTATAATTCAAAAGTACTGTACAGTTTTATAATTTGCCTCTTATGTATTAACAGATGATTTTAGCAAACATATGTAATTGTCAGAAGTGTAGATATTACTGTATACCGTACTGTATAGAAGATAATATATAAAATTAAGTCTAGAAAAGTATCAGTGGGAAGTACAGTACATTGATGAATTGTACCAAGTTGGCATTGTAATGGTATGCTATGACCTATTGAGTCTATAAATATCCCCCTGAGAGGGCAGGAAATCCTGTTAGGAGATTACCGTGAACGTCAAGGTAGTAGTATGTGCTTGAGTTGTAGACTGAGAATTCTAAAGAAGTTTTACACGTACAGTAATAGGTTTTCTTTATTATTCCTTGTATTGTTATCCTTGCAAAGTGTCTTCATAGTTTTGTGTACTGTATATTTTCATCAAGTAACATGTGAAATTATCAAGACATGGGTATTTATATAAAGTAATGTCTTGTGAAAGTTTGACCTTGAGACATAAGACGACAGTATACAATATTGTTGCACTACAAGATGTTTGTAAATGAGTTGGTAAATTTAATTTGGTTATAACTGGGAAAGAAACTGTTTTATGCTGACTAATATTCATTATGGCTTGTCATAGGGTTTCCTGGGTGAGGAGTTCAGCGTGCCTCTAGTTGTCAAGAATGTGGGAGAATGGCGGTCTTCTCCTGTGTTAACATAAACCAGTTTTTCATGGTGTGGACAAAATGTACAATACTTACCTTCATGGATGTGTTTTGTAGGTAGTTAATGGTGTATTGTACATGAGGGAGGGGGGGGGCAGGCATGTCGTGCGCACGAAAAACTTTCGGTTTTCAGGTTATCAGAATTTTGGATAAGAAGTTGTCAACCTGTACCATATATATTGTAAAGTTTGCTGACATACCAAACAGGTTATAACTTAAGGTGAAATTAAATTTATGTACTGTATTTCCCCACTATTGATGAGCTGACAATTCAGTTTAAGATTGTTTTGGGTTGTGTGAAAGTTATTGAATATCTCCATGTTGACAGCCCAACATTTTTTTATTTATTTTATTTTATTTTTTTTAATGGGGATTAGCCCACCCGGGCACAGGTCGCTGACCCGCTTGGGGGCAAAAATGTAATAATTATTCATAGTAAATACAATTTATAATAAAGTAAAATAATAATAACCATAAATCATAACACTGTAGTAATAATAATAAAACTATAAAAAAAGTGAGAAATGTATGTATGTTGTGTTGTAAATAGTAAGAGAAACAATTGAGACTGCAATTGTGTGTAAATGAGGCAGAAAGTCAGATGAGCAACCTGGGACATGGTCACAATTTTCGTGGTGCCATATGGCAGCAGGGTCTACCATAGACAACACATTATGCTTCCAATATCTTCTAGGCAGTAGTACCTCCCTGTTTGGTAGCTTCCTACTGTATATACCATTTCTAACACATGTAGAGGATGGAGATGTATATTCCGTTAATTTTTCTAAATCGTAATTTGATACGGTAGCACTTGCCTACAAGAGAATATAAAGGTTGAACGCTAATGTTGTGTTCTCGGTTATATTCATAATACTGTATTAGCTCCTTTAAGATTTTTATGAAAACAAATTGTGCAGATTTGAGTGTTCATGTATTAGGATGGTATGACAAATACATAGAGCCTGAAAGATGATTTACAAAAGGTGAATAATTATAACCAGTGTACACCCATTAAGGAACACCGTACTGTACTATAGGTAGTTGGTGTGGAGGGAAGGTAACAATTAAAGTATGGTGATCCTCTATTAAGAGTCGTTTGATAATTTATTTATTTCATCTTTTTCCCCAGAAATAGGCAGTTTTCTAGCAACCGGCATCGTAAACTGCAGCCATTCAGGACTTCGTGACTTCAACAAGCCACCCACCCAGAAAACAGACATCATCCCATTGCTTGCTGGCACTAGGTAAGACAGTGTAGATGGGTTGAGTGCCAAATTTATGACCTTGTTTTGTTTTGAGATAGGGAATGCATGATGATTTTAGTGTTTAGCTCTTTTCTGAGGAAAACTATAGATTTAAGTATATTAGATACTGCATTTGTGATTTAAAGTCTGTTGCTATTGTGGCTGGCAGTGGTCATGGAATCTGAAATCTTGATCATTATTTAACACACCACCCACATATATTTTTTTTTCTGTCCTGATGGCTTGGATTATGGAGTAACTTCCCATGTTGTGAAAACATACTGTGGTTTAATGTGTGTTTCTGGCAGTGCGGGGTTAATAATGTCAAGTTTCAGTATATTAAGAGAATGCTATATAAGGACTGTATAAAGATATATTACTGTATAGTAAAACATCCATATAATGGACTTCTCCCTCCATATAATCCATTAGTTTCACCTCAAACGAACCTTTGATATAACGTTCTTTCATCTCTATACAGTTTGTTAGATGGTTTCACATCTAATATATAGTATCCTCAATATAAAGGAATTTCTTCTCCCTGTAGTCTGTTTAATAGAGATTTCACTCTATAGGATTAAAATTTGCTAAAATTTTTATTTTAATGTATGTACTGTAAGTCAAGCAGTATGACCAGGGTAGTGCATAACTTGACCATAATAGAAGAGTAGTGAATACAGTATTTGCAAATTTTTTTTATTTTCACTTTGAATGCTCATTCAGTTAAGTATCAAAATACTGTATACTGCTGTAAACACTGAGGGTGAAATGTATATTGGGGAAGATTTTGCCATCCTGTGCATCATTAGTTTAAGGAATCTTAACCCCACGATCCACTAGACCTGTACTGTGTATCGGTAATAATGGAAATATTGTTTTACAGCCGTATCCTGTGTGTGCTTTATTTGGTTGTAGTAGCTGTTGTCCACCAACGGACGCCAAGAACCCACTTATGCTGTACATAGATAACAAGAAGACACCAAGAGAAAGGCGAGAAGACCGGCAAGAGGTTTATCATCCCTCAAGCCATCACCTGCTACCCAAACTCTGAATGTGGCTCTCCCCATTTCCACCCACTGGCACTGCTTCCCATAGCTCTGTAAGCAAACATGTACTGTATTTGTGATATGATAAAGTGAAATAATAAAATTCTTAAGATGATGGATCAGTATTAATGTATACATTTAAGATCTTGACTTAAGTGACCAAGGTCTCAAGTTACCAGAGTTTTACATAATTAGTAAATTTTTTTCAGGAGTCGCAGTGGAGTGAACAAGCTGCATGAACGACCATTTCATTGAATCCCAAGTTGCCAACTTATGCACTATTTAGAAGACGGTCCTAACCCGGACTTTTGACTTGACATAACGCTTCACATCCCAGACTATTCTTATTTTGAAATATCTTAATCACTTTACTAGAAGACTCAACACCCAACCACCAAGGTAAAGTAATTTGGCACTTATAAAATTATTGGATATATTTAAGTGATTGTTTTGTTGTGATTCAGATAACCTCTATGAAATATTTAAAGCATGTCTCCAGTAATATTACTGAAATGTTATTGACAGTTAAATAGATTATTTTTGGTGATCTGGATAACCTTAAAGAATTATTCGCTAACCTTTCTACCAGAAGTTTCCGAAATAGTGGCCATCAAGTAGAACTGCAATGTTTTTTTAGATTGATTTCATACTACAATTAATACTATATTAGATTTGATTGCAATTCATGTATAGAGGAGTTTTGTTTCAAATGAGGTGAGGGTAAATGGAGATTTTTTTTTCATCAAGACACTTCACCTTTTTTTTTTATATTTGGCAGCAAAAGTGTACAAAGCAAACTTTCTGTATTTACTGTATAGGATTACATAGAAGTAAGACCTGTAACAAGTTGTACCATACTTAGATTTTCAGTTTTACCCATTCAAACTGCGTGCTCTATATCTGCTTATTACTAGTATTCTGTATAGTTACATGAAGTAGTCTTCTTTTTCCATTAATATACATTAGTCTGTCTATGAAATTCCCCATCCCCTGTGAGCCCCAATCTGGTTTAGGACTGGGGAAACACCCGATTAGTTACTTTAGCAAAATCCACTTCATGGTACACAAACACTATAATTACAGAGTGGACACAGTTACAGAATACAGGTTGTTGCAGTAAATCTGAGGTAATAGGATCAGTAGTTGAAATATTGTGCAAACTAAAAATTGATGCCAGTTTTATTATAATGTATGCGTACAGTGTAATGGTTTGTGAGTAGAAGGAAGATGTGAATGAATGAATGACTACAAATGAAGGATCAATCATTGTTTACTCTTGATTCTGGACAAATAAGGATATTCTCTTCCACCACCTCACCAGTTCACAGCCGTTTTTCACTTGTGTGGGTTAGCAAAAATAAAAGCCAACAACATTTGGTGTTCCCAAGTAGTCACCTGTTCAAGTACATACCAGACCCAATGTTGCTTAACTTAGTTGGTTGGATGAGAAGTGGGGTTTTTATCATGCTTATGGTCAATGTCGATTCAACGTTTTATGGTTATGAAGCATAGAGCAATAGAAATGATGTTCCTGAGAGCAGTATTTGGGGGTGAAATAGGATGTAGAGAGAAAAAATACAGTACTGTATTTGAAGTCTTCCCAGTTATCCACCAACAAGCAGAGGAAAACATTTTAGTGGCTTCCCCGAGTTGTACACGTCATACAATGTGCATAAAAAAATGAGTATAAGAGGAAGAAGGAAAGTTAGTCCAAATTGGAAGTGAGGAGGAGGAGGAGGGATATTCAGAGCATACTCTGAGGATATTAAAGGGATGATTCAGTTGGAAAAGTGAGTGGGTGGCAGCAGATAAGTTGGTTTGTTCTTGGTTGTGACCAGTTTGCTGTGTAGCTGGAGAAGGCTTGCAAGAGGGAACACTAATATTCTGTACACTTTTGCTGTACCATCAGTTGCTTTTCCCCACCTTCAACTGCCCTGCTGTAACTTTCTTCATCTTATTTAACATGTATGATACTCACTATCCTGTTGTAACTATTCATGCATTTCTGAATGAGTTATCCTACATTTGTTTCATCTTTGTTCTTTACATCCTCAGTTCCCACAAATTTCTGGGATATTGAAGAAACTGTTTTTCTTGGCATTAATCTTAAATTAAAATATGGAATCATGAAAGTTTAAATGTTATTACTGTGGACAGGATGTACTGTGTGTTTAGATAAAGAGAACTACAAGAAGCAAGAAAAAAAATACAGTACATTACTTACTTGTTACAGATGAGTTACAACGTCAACCGCAGCGTCATGGATGCATTTTATCGTTACAAGATGCCAAAAATCATGGCCAAAGTTGAAGGCAAAGGCAATGGTATAAAGACTGTTGTTGTCAACATGGTTGATGTGGCCAAAGCACTTGGACGACCTCCCACATGTGAGTTCACATTTATGTTGAGTTTTTGGACCATTTTAATTTTGGGTCTCATATTTTTTTAAAGTAGTTTGCACTTGTATTTCATGTCCTGACACTGATGGAGTGGTGAAGAAGCAGTGGGCATTATCCATGTGGTGTAATGGGGATATCTCCCTCCCTTCCTTTTTTCTTCTTCCTTTTTGTAATAATTTTCTTGGCCTTTTATCTTCCTTCTTTGGTGGGACGGGGGAGAGTTTAAATAGGTATTGAGCCTGAGGTAATTTTGCAATTTGTGACTTGGCTTTCCTGAGGGGTATACAGTACAGTGTACATGATCACTCTTGCAGATCAGAGGGGTGTTGAGACTACTGCCTTTCCCAAAGAGGGAAAGGAAAAGGCATTCATATTGTGTAGTAGAATCTTTTGAAATCTGAAATCACTTGTCCAGGAATCTCGGAAAACCAATTTATTTAAAAATTATTTAGTTAATGTTGTAAAAGTTAATTCTAGACTCGTTAACAGAAGATGTTGTGCTGTTTTACATTAAAGTAGTTTGTCAGCTGCAGTTAAAATATTTAATGGTAACTTTATTTTCAGATCCTTGCAAGTACTTTGGCTGTGAGCTTGGAGCCCAAACTCAGTTTGATACGAAGAACGATCGATATATTGTGAATGGCTCGCATGATGCTATGAAGCTTCAAGATCTGCTGGATGGCTTCATCAAGAAATTTGTGCTCTGCCCAGAATGTGAAAATCCAGAGACTGTACTTTTTCCTAATGTAAGTTAAATTATGAATTTCTTTTATGTCTAGCCAGTATAAACCTGAAGGAATGTTTTTGGTAGTTGATTAAATGAGCCATACCAACTGCCACTGATTTTAAGTAAAAAAGTCTTTTTTTTTAAAGTGGTTCCCTGCAAATGAATGGTTATCACATTCATCACTTGCAAATCTTAAGTATCAGTAACTGCCTCTTAAAAACTTTTTTCTTTACAGGAGAAGAAAGGGATAATCAAACAGTCTTGCAAGGCATGTGGATACCAAGGAATGCTTGACATGAGGCACAAGCTCACCACTTTCATCCTCAAAAACCATCCTGGTAATACTTTTTCATTGCCTTTTGTCATGAGTAGCATTATTGTAGATAAAGTTAATGTTCTTTTTCATACCTTTCTTTATTCTCGCCTTGCCATCAGTATAAAAAGGCTCGGTCTTAGAATATACAGTGCAGCATTTTAATTTTTGCATTTTAAATGAATATAACTGAGATGTTTATGCTACTCCTCAGTGATACTAGGTTGTGTGATGCAACAAGGATAAACCATATTTGGGATGGTGTTATGGCATCAGGAATGAGTGTCCAAATGACAGCAATTGAATGGAGAATTGTGTGCATTGATAGGTTCTGGCTGCCTTTTATTTTAGTTGGTGAGAGGGAGAAACATATATAACTAGGGGCATATGGCTTTCCAGATATAAAGCCCAACCAGCCTGGCACAGCCCTGACAAAGAGAAAAGAGCGCACCAAGAAGTCTGAAAATGGCCAGAAGGATTCTCTGCGACCCAACTCTCCACGAGCAGATAAATCTGATGCATCGGATAATGACATGAATGGTGATGCTGAAGATGTTAGTAAATGGAAATTTTAATAGTTGTATATATTGGAATTTAAGTACTGTACTGTAGTTTCATGGTAATGTCTGCATACATTTTTTTTTGTGTAAGGAAAATGATTGAAATTGATTATGCAGTGTTATTTCGAAAAGTGCGACATCATAAGTGTAATATAGTTCATATGAAAAGAAGTTATTAATGTAATTATATAACAATGGTTTTAGGATGATGACTGGAGTCTTGATGTGAGTGAGGAAGCAATGAAGGAACGACAGAAGACCCTAACAGCTGGAGTCAAGAACCTTACTGTTTCCAATGATATTGAGAAGACCCAGAGTGAACGTCTTGAAGTTTTCTTTGAGCTCTGCAAGGTACAGTGCAATTTTCATATTAGAAGTACTGTACTAGTATCTCCTATCTTTAAATTTCCACCTTGCAAAACAGACAATAGACCCCAGCCTAACCCGAAATTTCAGCCAAACTGGACAGGCTTTTCCCCCAATTAGTCTGGATTAGAGGAAGTTTACTGTAGTATCTTCATTGAAAGTTATCAGCACATGTGATTACCAGAGCTTTGATAGTGTAAAACTTGCTGCCAGTTTATTTTGAATTATAATTAGTTGAGCTTTTCTTCAGCTTTAAGATAAATTTTAATGTTTTAACTTTACAATGTACTTGCAGGCCAAGGTTGATAAAGGCTTTTTAAAACCTGGTGCTGATGTGTCAGTGTTTAAGGACATTGCTACAGAGGCTGAGAGGTTGGATATCAAAGAAAACAAGGCAGTCATGGTGCTGGTGGAAGTGTTACTGAATGACAACATTATTAAGCAGGTATGGTATTATTATTATTTTAACATGTTTTAGCCAGATATAAATGCTTTATTGACAAGATTTACATGCAAGTGGAACCCTCCAGTAACTGGCTTTGAGGGTTGACTGTTTTTGGTTTTGCAGATTCCTCAGTACCGAATTCTCCTGCTCCTGTTTACTCACGGAAACCCCAAGAGTCAAAAGTACTTCATTGGCGCTGTGGAGAAATTGATAGAACTCAACAAGGATCTGTTGCTCCCTAAGGTCCCCATGATTTTCAAGGTGAGCATGATTGTTGTGATGGACAATGTAAAAAAAAAAAGTTTTCATCTTTCACTTGGTAATGATTATATATAATACATTGCTCTAATCAAAATCCACTAGACTAATTATCCTGGGTCTTGGCATACTGTATTTGGCTAAGTCATGATTTACATGCAACACACAACCAAGCATGTGCTCTGTAGAATTTCCTTTCGAATTCTTTAGATCGAGTTTATTTCAGATGTAGCTTACGACTAACATTAGTGACTTGCACTGCTATAGGTTAGTAATCAGTTGAAACTGAATTTGCAGTATTTGTGAAACGACCTGAGTAACATGATCCGAGGACTTAACACATGTTACATCACTGGACAAGTATAAATTGTAACTTGGTTTTCAAAATGATCAAGAAAGGTCCTGTATAGATTTAAAATTATATGGAGTAAAAGGCAGCTTTGAGCTTTTCAATCTCAGGCATTTTATTTTATTTTAGAAAGCATATTTTAGTTTTTTCTAATTTATATTTTGGCTTGATATAAGTGTTATCCTGTTTTTCTTATTTTCCTTTCAGGCCATGTATGACCATGACATTATTGAGGAGGAGGTGTTGCTGGACTGGGGGAAGAAAGTCTCCAAGAAGTATGTGACTAAAGAAACTGCTGCAGAGATCCATGCCAAAGCCCAACCCTTCCTGAAGTGGTTGCAAGAGGCCGAAGAAGAGGAAACCACCGAAGAGGAAGAAGAAGATGGTGATGTGGAGGTAAGGAAGATGGCTCCACAACCCCTGTTGATTGTTCTGCATTTGGTTGTTACTCGGTGATCTTTCTATCATTAAATTTCTTGCTCCCATTTAAGTTCTAAGTTAATAAATAAGGTTCTCTTGCCCTTCTAATGTGTCACTTTCTTTGCCTGAATTTAACTTTTTCCTTTGTTCCAGTTTGATCCTCGTGCAATGAACCAGAGTCTTAAAGAACAGGAAGCTAAGATTGCTGCAGACACTAAACCAATTGTAGCTGAAGCTCCAAAGATAGTTACTCCTGGGGAAGAAGACGAAAATGAAGATGATGACAGTGATTTGGATATTGACAACTTGTAAACATACTCTTGACTTTACTTTTACTGGATACCAATGAAGGCCATATTGAAGAAACAGACATATGTTTTTAAATTGGACAATGGAATTTACTGAATATTCTTTTAAGTTTGTGACCTTAATTGCTTCAACAAATTTATAATCCCATGTTATAGTAGTTCTGTTTATATTGTCAGTGCTCATTTTGTTTTTAAAGGAATTGTAAGGCACTTAACATTGAAGGATATAATAAATATATTTTTAGCCAAGAATATTCCACTAATCCCATGGAAATCATATAAAAAATTTACATTTTACTTAAAATAAGAAAATGGAAGTGTTCAAGACCATTTTTTTCCACGTTTTGCATTTTGTTTAAGATTGGTTAATGTTCAATTTAGTTTTTTTTCATTAGATGTGCAGCTTTTTGTTTCTGATATGATGGCCTTCATCTAAAGCCAACAGACATTTCTAAATTGTAAACTGACACGACAGGAATGTAGTTTTATGTGAATGTATTTTCTCGGCTGTATCAAGTGCTTAATCATGTCGTTCCAAGGTACTCGCATAAAACTTAAAGCAGACTTATAAATTATTTCATTGTTATGATATAGAAAGTAGTTGTGCATCTTGGAACCAGATGAATTAAGGAAAATCTTTAAAGTTTTGCACAAGGAACATATGACAAACTAAGTCCTGTGACTGTTTAGACTAGTGGCAATTTTGGTTCAATACTGGGAAGTGCAGGTTGCTTCATAAATCAATTTTAAGAATATTTGAACCTCTTGAAAGTTGAGGAAATCACTGTGGTTTAGGAGTAATAATTAATTCTTTTTCGGGTAGCAGATAGTAGCCATGTATAGTGTAAATGTTAGATGACGTTTAAAAAGATTCAGACTTGGGAGTAAAAGAAAAATGTACTCTAAATTTTGTATCATTATATTGACTAAATATACAAGCCACAGGAGGCCGGGATAAAACTCTGGCCTTGCAGTTATATATCACACAAAGCTTTTAGCCAGTATTACTAAGCCTTCATCGTGTATGTTTGAGACTTGGCAGTTTTTTCTTCTGGGCAGTGTACAGTATAATTCTTCACTGCAAAAAATGCTATGAATGACTTGGTTTTGTTACTTGCCTTTACTCTGTACAACTCATGCATTGTTATTTGGTGTTTGGGCCTCTTACAAGTAGTCAACAGACAAATTTTTAAGCTCTTGTTTAATAAAAATGTATACAGCTTGTGGGTTCTTGTGTAATGTGAATTATTATATTGGTGGATTAAAATTTAATATTGTCAAGAGTTATTGCTCTATACAGATGTCCTAGTTACTGTGGCAGTGGATGATATCTTTGTGAGGAGATTAGGGTTTTTAGGCCCAAAATGTAGTCATATTGATGATGAAAACATTTTAACCGAGGCTCAAATTCCCGATCTTGCACATTTTGTTTGGTGTGGCGGCTTGAAATATTTTCCAGCGGATTTAATATTACAAGACTGTGATCTTAAAATGACGGTAAGGGGAGATAATAAAGGTAGATAAGAGCATGGCGGAATTGGTCCATCATTCATTCATTTCATTTTTGTTTGGTTTCTCTCCCTCTTACTATTTCATTCATCTAGTTGCATCCCCTTGCCCATATCATGTGATAGAATGGGGAGTGTAGAACAAGTCGAACCTGATTTAATGTATATGCATAATCCTGGTGGTAACACAATCAGACTATTGAGATTGAATAAAAGTATAATTTATGAAAAAAAATATTAGGAACTTGTTTTAGTAAAGAATGTGCTGTACCATTAATTATCTTTCTGCAGATCTCTCGTTATCTCATTTTTTGTTTGGAAGGAAATTGTTTTTTGAGGCAGTTTTAGGTGGCACATACATTGTTCTGTAAGCCTTGTCCTCATCCTACTCATGCCATATTACAATTGAAAATATAAATTATATTTTTTACAAATAAGACAAAATTATCATACTTTAATGTAGCAAAACCTTGAGGATGCATTATTTCATGTTCATCTGTAAGAAAAGGATAAGGTTGTTAGAGGAATATAATCTTGAGTGAGTTGCTTGTCAAGATGTAGTTGTTGTTGTTCTGTGTCCAACTGTATCTTTAAAGGAATTGAATTGGACTATATTCCGCTGACTCATGATTTGCATATAGTATGAACGTTAAGGCCACTGAATTTTGTCGCCAGTATCATTTTTTCCGAGATGTTAATGTAAAGCTCTTTAATAATTGTTGCAGCATCCAATTATGTTTCCTTAACCTCCTATACAGTACCTGATAGTTTATAATAGCTACCTGACAGGACATAGCAGAGGTGTATATTGTCAAGGTAAACTAGAAATGCTAAAATTTGCAAATACACACTTTTTATCCACATAAATAAATCTAGAAACTGTATAATGGGAATATTCTTCCAGGCCGAGAATGAAGTAATACTCTTAGAAAAAAATATAGGGATACATACTCTTATAAGTTATTACTTTCGTGCAGTACCTGTAGTTGCCTGAACTTCAGAACCATTTAGTTCTTTTTGCCCCTTTGGCCATATGATAAAACAAAATATATCCTCTATCTTAGAATTTTAGAGGGACATATGAAACTTAGATGGTGGCCTGGACCCAGCATTGTCTGGTTCTTCAGTTCATAACTGATTTGTCTGTCCTAACCCCATCACATATGTGATGTTTTTGCAAGAGAAACTGGTTATGTCCAATTTGATTAGCAACGGAAGTGTGTACTAGAAGTTAAAATATTTGACAAATGAAGTTTTCATCATAAGGAAAGTTCTATCCTCCCAATGTAAGTTACCAATTGGTGCAGTGCATTAGCTAAAAAATATTTTTCTTTTGGCAGGCAAGCTGTCATGGTTGTAGTCCTAGTAATCAAATCTCCCTGCACTTGTTATTCCAGTGTTTTGATCATGAAATATTGCCACTGCTATTCATATCATCTTACTTTTTTATGGGAGTGTGAAGTGACTGGTCAGATTTCAGTGTTGTGATCATGAAATGGTCTTTTTCATGTGAGTGGTTATTACACTGCAAAACCTTCATGTATAATCCTCCTACCCCATCTCTTCTCTCCAGTTCTCGATGTCTGCAGTCTCTCAAGAAGACGTAAGTGTTATTTTTTCCCATGATAAAAATTGGTTTATTTACTTTTGTGGGTTTTTAGTTTATATTGGTTTAGTGTGGTATTATGTAGGTTTAATAAAGATTTATTGTCATTGAAGTTTGTTATAATTTTGTATGCAGTAGGGAGGAGGAAAGTTACTCGCATTTTTTCGTAAATTCGATTACTACTAAACCATACACGCGCTACTGAAAACCCAAAACACTGATCTCCGACAATTTTTTGTTACAACACATTACAATTCAACTTGATAGTTCAGTACTGTATTCATAATATACTGTACTATCAGTTGCAGTAATTACTACCTCTGCTGGTGCCAGTCAATGAAAGTTGATATTTACACACTGCAACATTGCCAGTCATGTTCGTTTAAAAAATACCCAACAATGTTTACATGGGAGGAGGTGGGTGTTTGTCTAATCACTAGGTCTTCACTTGCAGTGGCTCTGGCTTTTGACTAATAATTTTTTGGGGGCACTTTTAGCTCACCCTTTCAATTTTTCACAATTTACAGCAAAACTAATAAAAAAAAAATCTGATAGCACGAACTTTGTAATTTTAAGCATCTAATGGTATATAGCTTGTAATGTTGGCTTTGGAAAATATTTTGAGTTGGGAAAACATTTTTGGACACAGTATTTGTTTTGCATTTAGTCATAGAAGAGTTTTATGATGTAAATTAATTTTCTGATTTCTTTCTTAGCTAAAGTGAAAGCTCAAGCTACTCTGAAGCCAATAAGTAGTATCAAATTGATGAGAAAATATTTCCTTGGTCTAAATACTGGCTCTACTGGAATTTGCTTTTGTAACATCAGTGCTATGAAAATGAGCCTCAATTACTTTATTCCTCCCTATATATTGCGGACAAACTTTTTTCAGTTAGAGCAGATCATGTTTATTACAATTACAGTATATGTAACTTTCTTCATCAGTACAGTACTGTGTTAGTATTATTGGTAGGTTATAATCAAATCCATGTGAAATTTATGGGAGTCATTGTTTATACCTAACTTTAATGTTTTTTAACCCAAAATATGAGTACATAAAACTAAAAGGAGAATTTTCAGTTTCTTCTTCATTCATAACATTGGGCAAAAATAGGACAATCAGATAACAGCAGCAAATTTGCATATCATTATTAAATGTTAGAAAAACAACATATATCTAATACATGAAGTAGTGCTATCCATCATTTTTTGAACCACCAGTTTGAGAAAGATGCTTAACTATATCCACCCAGTTATATCCACGAGATCGTTCCCCAGCTGCATTCTGCCGGTCCCACATTCGCCGTTTCTGTGCCTTAGTCAGTTGCTCCTTTTTCTCCCTCTTTCCCTGTCAAAAATAGATTACACATTACAGTACTTCCTGGGTGAAAAAATGAGGTTCAGGTAAATGGAGGTTTAACCTTCTTGATGTGTGCGAGAGAGATTGTACAGTGGAGTCACAATAATTCGTGAAATGCAAATTCACAGGTACTGTACTGTTCCTCTACCAATTTTTTTTTTTTTAATCTTGGGGTCAAATATTCATAATTTACATTGGACCCCATAAAAGTTGTGGAAATATCATTTCATTACTCTAACTTAGAAATAAAGAAAGGAAAATATAAATATTGTACCACTTTAATGCTCTAACGGAACTTAGAAATACTGTACACAATCTGTTGGGACCGAGTCAGGGGCTGATACTCTTTGTAATAGAGGTTGTCATCTCTGGTTACTGTGTCATAGTGAGGCTGCAACGTTTGAATCTCTGGGTCAACACGCTTAACCCCTCCTGATAGCATTAAAGTGCTTAATCTTCAGGTGATCCTCTACTGCAGTGTTCCCGTCTCAAAACACATCCATCTGATTTACCCTGGCTTAAGGGCCCCTGTACACGAGCCATTTAAGTGAATTTGTGACCACAACTTTTTGTGTACCACAAAAAAGTGGCACATGATATTTTCTTGTCCCCACACACGGGCCACTTTTTGTGTCGGCTACACATGGGAGTCTGCCAGTGGTGTCAACATGGACTTCGAAGAGGTGGCACGTATTTCTTTTTACAGATATTTAGCAATGGACAACAGCTTTGTTTCTGCTTCACTTTTGATTATCTTCTTGGAGAATCTACAGTCCAGCAAATTGTATTCCACAACTGTGATGCACTCGGGAAGAATTTCAGTGCCACCCACTTGTATGCCTGAGAAAAATGAAGACGACTGGATGTAGGTTGCAAAGGATTTTTATGCAGCTACTCGTCTCCCGATTGCATTGGTGATCTTGACAAAAAGCATACAGTATTAAAATAACAAATTCAGACAATAGCTGTTCTAATTTCTTTAATTATATACATTTCACAATGGAATTCACAGCTCTAGTAGATAGTCACTCCTGTTTCACTACTGTGGATGTTGTGGCTGCCAGGAAATCAAGTGATTCAAATGTGTTTAAAAGTTCTAATTTACAGTATGTAAGGAATTGGATTGTGCTAGACTTAACATACTTCAATCCACAGCTTTCTTTTATACTTCTATCACTATATTCCTTTAGTTTTGAAATGTTGACAGCTGGACGTTTCTCAACTTCATTAATTAACTTTTCACACTCAGTTCTTTACAAGACATATTTATTGTCAAATGAGGAGACAGCACAAGTGAATTGTTCTGCACCTCTACACCAGGCAGAGACCTGCTGTATCTGTAGCTAGACACAAAATAGTGGCTCATGTGCATGCTCTCATTTAAAATACTTAGTTTTATTGTTGGCTACTGACTGATGGCCAGCCACTGTGGTGAGGCAGAGAAAATGGATCCAGTTGTGATTTTTTTGTGGCCGCCACAAAATAGTGGCTTGTGTGCAGTCTTCCATAGATACATGTAGGTTTCATTTGTGGCCACAAAAAGTTGCATCCACAAAGTGGCTCATATGCAGAGGCCCTGATATAACATGGCATTATTCATTACCAGGATGTCCCCCCCCCCCCTCTTTCTCACACATCTAGTGCCTCCCTCACCCCATTACTTTCATCTCCTTCTTGGGCTTCCATTTCCACTCCTACAAACCACGTAATATGTAAAATTTTTATACCAGGGTATTAATTTTTCATTTGGAAGGCATATTACAATATTCTATAAATACAGTTTAGCCCATACACTCAGTATTTCCCACACTGTGTTTCGGTTAACTATTATCATATTTTGTATCATTTCAATTGTTTTGTTACAAAGTTTAAGTTGAAGTCATTAAGTATGATTTGCCTATTTACTGTAAATGCTTTTTCTGTATTGTACAGTACAGTGAGTTCTGCTATAACGCGTGTTTTGATAACGCGAATTTGCTCTAACGCGATTTATGAATTAGGAACGATATTTGTATAACGCGAAAGCTTGGTTGCTATAACGCGATTTTTGCTTACTATTTCTCCAATTTTGTGGTATTAACTGTGAATATGGTAAAGAAGAATATCTCCAAGAAGCGTTCTGGTGATAGAATTCCCGGTGATGATCGTAAAAGAAAGGATATAACACTTGAAGAGAAGCTCGATGTTATCAACCTCAAAATCACCCTTCTCCCCCATCAAGTTACATTCATATTTTTTCAAGGTAAAGTGTTACGTTTACTGTATGATTTCATTATTAGATATGAATGTAACCTTTATTTAGACTGTGCTATCCTTTGTGTTAGGCTAACTACTAAATTTTTTCGATTTCGAGTAATCTGCACCTAACCCTATTTTCTCCATAAGCCCTGTTATTTCTATTACGCGATTTTCTATAACACGATATTTTACAAGAACACAATTATCGCGTTATAGCAGAACTACCTGTACAGTATATGGTAAATTCAATGATAGTAAAAAGGATAATTTCCTCCATGTTTAAGCCCATATTCAAATTTCTAAACATACAACAATATGAACATGTCAATACATCTATAGTAACTCTACATGTGGCAACATGTCTCACCCATGCACTCATGAAAACCAAAATACTGTATACCTCTCCATGGTCATCATTAACTGAAATTTGGCCAACTTCAGAGGTGATTTCAGAAACACCCAAGACTAATGGCTCAGTTGGATGATTCTCCAGGAGTTCATCTTTAGCCTCTTTTAACCATTCAAAGAGCGTGAAGGTCATGCTCATGCCAAGGTTGACTTTTGCCTGATCATGTAGCTCTGCAGTGATCTTCTGTTTTACTGATGGTGAACTGCAACACAAAAAATTTGATCATAAACAGTGCGCTGAAGTAATCCCACCATCATATTATGTCTGCTAGAAATGAAGGATTGATTCTGATTTGCCATCTTATGTTTGATCACCTCACATATGTGCCTTGGCAGCTCGGCTATAAAATTAGACTTCAGGATTGATCCTTTCATATACAGAAATCCACTCTTCACTTGGCAGTTCATGTAAGTTAAGTGAACTGAAAATCGGTTCTAGGGCTTAAATTCCTTACCATTTAGTAAATATCAAGAAGGTTGTACTATTCAATCATTTTAAAATTTTATATACGTATTTAATTTTTTAGTCATTTTAACAATTATTGAACATAATTGAAGTACAGGAAACTAGTTTTATGCACGCCAAACAGCCACTCAACACACCAAGCTTGGCGTCAGTTTGTTTACAGGTTCAGAGGAAGGAACATCTTGTTTGAGACTCTTCAACATAAATGCTTTTTTTCTGTGTTTCCAGTAAAATTATTGGTCATTTTGAAATATATTTTACATATTCATAATACAGTATATAGCACAGTGCAGTGTTGATTTAAAGAAAATAATCTTGAATTACATCAAGTGAACTAAAATTTTATGGGTGAAATAGCAGCATGGGGTGACTTCTCTTCCATCCCAATGCCTTCTCTTCTCCCTTCTCCTCCACCCTCATTCTAATTCCCATCATCATCATCATCAACAACCAGGAGCCTTCTACATGCACACCTCAAAGTAAGTGTACTTTACTGCATTTATTTTTCGTTTGTATGTAATTTTCGGTGAGCTGGAACCAATTACCCAAAAACCCATTGAAACAATGGTTTCGGTTAACGAGCAACCTTCTGGAACGAATTGTGCTCGTTAACCGAGGGACCACTGTATATCTTATTAATTATAGTACTGCACTTACCCTCTTCTACTGTAAACACTCCCTCGATATCCTTCCTCCTGACCCTAACAAGCCTTATACTTTTTGGAAGAAATTATCTAATTATTGACCAGGTGAAATTTAAATTCCTACAGAATACATAAGGTTTTCATATTAAGTATATTACTAGTGATACAGTTTTCTATAACTATTTCTCATTGAAACAAACTGTAAAATGTGAAAAATTCAACTTACATATGTTTGTTGTAAAATAAATCTAAGCTTATGGTAGGTGCAACATCTGGATAATCTGGACCCCAACTGATCTCCACCAAGAAGGAATTGCTGCCTCCTTCTTCACCATACTGTGGAGGAAATTTATTTTAAGGCTATTATTATTGTGTATCATGAGCAAATAATAAGAAAAATTGAAACATCAAGAACATGACGCAGAATACATAAAAATTTTCAGCTCGGTAGACCTGACTACAGTACTGAATACAATACAATGCTGTACTGTACTCGGAATCCACAGCCCCCAGTATGACAGACAATAGGGTATCACGAAAAGTGATCCATATCATAGTAAAAACTAAACTCATGATAAAGTAATTACAAAAATTAAATCAAAGCAGTAAAATAACTCGTATTACAACCATCCACTTTGTAATGATAATTATTACTGTACATTAGTTATGAACTTCGTTACCTTATATTGAAATGTTGTTTCATTGATCATACAATAGTTTGTGTCTCCTTCATAAATACTCTGAAGAACCTCACGCTCCTCCTCATGCTCTTCCCGCATTGTTTTAGTCGGATGAAACTGAAAAACAGCAAAACATCCATACAATAAGTACTGTACTGTATTTGACTAACACCAGATGCTTATTCAGCACACAGACCCCTATCCACAAGGGACTAAAGACATGATTTTATTCAATACAGTACAGGTATTAGGTTTGGTTGCAAGTTTTGATATTAAACAGATGGTTACTCAACAGCAAAAATCATACAAAGTCAATAAGTTAGATCTGGTATGTTAAATTAGATTTGACTCATTCATTTTACTGTTTCTGAAAATTCAATATGTTTACACGATAGAACTCAATTAAGACAACACTTCACTTATGGTGTTGGTTGAGAAAGAAGCAACTTATCATTACTGCATTATAATGTAGGCAAAGTGACTGAGTTAATTTTTTTTTTTGAAATTTCATACAAAATAAACCCTCAAAACCTGTAGTTGAGCGGTGACTTGTTGTAATGTATAACCCTAAATTATTCAATAGCAAGAGAAAAAAATAAAACTGTAAGACAAAAGTTCTGACTTGTGACTTGAGAATGGAACAACTGTATTGAAAGTTTTTTCTTATTATTGCAGTACTGTATTTATCCTTTCACCACTTACCAGTTTATAAGCCATTAGAGCGGTTGGTCTGTTCTTTGTTATTTTGTTAAGGGCTTTTGTTATTCAGTGTTAGTACAGAAGGAAACCAGAGTACCTAGAGGAAACCTGTGATGTGTGGTAGCCACACTGATTAATACCCTATGTGTGCCCCAGGCCAGGAATCGAACCCATTACATAGTTGTGAGAGATATGTGTGTTACTGCTGGACCAGCAACATCCCCTCCCTGTAACACCAATTCCCCTTTGCTAGACCACCAACATCCCCTCCCTGGACCACCAATTCCCCTTCGCTGAACCACTAGCCTCTGGTTTGTCACACAATGTCAAATATTATGAACAACTTACTTTACATTAGTATTAACCACTTACAGTACTCTAAGAATGATTTAGATTAACATAGGTGTGAGAGCAGGAACCAATTAACTGCTGGTCATCAGGTGTCGACGTCTCACACCTGACCCTCGTCCAGCTGGTCGTCGTGTTTATGTGAGCTGCTCGAACACCGCCTAAAACCTCCCGAGAATTTACAATTATTTTACTTTAACATCAAAATAGAAATAAATGAAAATAATTGATAATAATAATAAACAGGATAAATTTTTGGTAATATTTAAATGTATATTATGGAAAAAATATATTACATACAAACTTTTATTGACAATATTTTGGACATGACGCAATAGTCGCCTCACAGCAGTGTTCCCAGATCTGACATATTTTATGCTCTTAGCATAATTTCGACCCAATATTACAACCTAGCATATTTTTTTTGCCTAATTCAACCTTTAGCATCAATCTGGCATAATTTTGTTTAATCTGGAATAAATTTGGAATATTAGAACGAAGTTAAGCAAATGAGTAGCATAGCTTCAATTGGGTATCATCATTGCATTGGCGGCACTGCGGCTTGCTGGGGAGGGAGGGGAGCAGAGGTGCTGATTGTGAGCGAATATTTTCCTTTGTGAACCTTAAAAATATCGGAGAAGTGCAATAGGCCCCCCAAAAAAAAGGCATTGCAATTATCATATGTGCCGACATGACATGATACTGAGAGCTTCTATCCTCTTGTTCCACTTTAAAACCCTGATATCAACTCCACTGTAAAGTATGTAAGTACTGTCTGCTCTAATATAAATGTAAAATAAATAAATAAATAACGAAGTGATAACTGTGGTAACATTTTGATATGTTCTTATTACCACCATGCTATTGTACTATTACAGATGATACTAAATGTTACATATGTAGTACTTCCTTGAGATAAATATACAGTATATATCAGGTGCCTTCAAGAGAGCTCAGGCTCTCAACTGGCTCAGCCATGTTATTATTGTTATTATTCTCCACTATGTATCTGTATTTTTCTGGATAATTAAACTGTTTCAATATCAATATCAGTATTAAATTAATAAGTGGCGAAGATATGAAGATGAGTGGAGACTGTTTAAGCTTTCAAATGATTGAGTAAAATGTTGTCAGTCATAACGTAACACTTTTTTCTAACAAAAATTAACATAACATAAACTAAAGAGCTAGTGACAAAAAATTCTAGCATAAGCTGTGAAAAATGCTTGTAAAATTATGCTACGTTTAGCATAATTTTGTAGCAAGTTTAGCACTTATTACCACAAAAAGATCTGGTAATACTGACTCAGAGAGTTTGTTGACGTTCATCAGGGAAGTAACGCAGACACCATCCTCTCCACTATGCCACGAATAACAGAAATATTAAAATGTGTGTCTGATATGACCAAACAATCTTCAAATCTTCCGGAAGCATATATAAAACGAGCCATGGAGCAGGTAAGCAAGGAGTCTGTGTCCAATCCTTCAGAACACTTCCTTGAGACCTAATCGCCCGGTATTGGTGAGGGTAAAGCACAAGAAATTCCAAAAGGGCTTGAAACAGAGTAGATAATAATCGAGAAGCAACAGAAACAGACTGGTAGGTTATACATAAGCAGACGGTAGTGGAGTAACAACGGCGAGGGCGACCAATATGACCATGCCGTAAACAAGATTATTAGAGAAGATGAGGTAGCTGCTGATAATGCAAAGGGTTTAAAGTCATTAAAAGACTTTAAATCTGAATTTAAAGCTATGTACACAAACACACTTTCCTCAATAAAAAAAAGTTTAAAGCCAAGTTACGGGACCTAATGCTTAATATAGTTTGGTAGGTGTTACAAAACTGTTGATTAAAACGAAAAAGAATAAACCGGACGGATTTATGCTTAATATCGACTACTATGACTTATTTACAAACCTCTCTGAGTTAACATGTAAGGGGGGTGTGGTTTTTTATGTTAGACCGGAGCTTAAGGTCACTCATGTGAAGGTGGAGAGCATAATGATTTTATGGAGTCAAAGTGGTGTAAAAGTAAACTGGGGAGAAGATAGGCGTATTATTGGATGCATCTACAGGTCACCAAATTGTGATCCATGAAGCAGAGACCAATTAAGATTGTTAATAGACAGTGCAAATGCTCAGTTCTAATTGTTGCCATATGGCATCACAAAATTTGTGACAAATTCCCAGGATGCTGATCTGACTGACTCTGCCTCATTTACATACAATTGCAGGGTCTCAATTGGGTATTACTTTAGTTTCGGTCATCTGGGGAATCTTTGGAATTTAACTACTGTATTGGAATCAGTAGTTTAGACAATTCTAAGACACTTGACCCCCTCCAGTTAAGAGGTTAGGTCAGGTCATTAGTAAGGGAGATGTCATAGAATAAAAGTGTCTTAAAATTGTTTAAATTATTGATTGCATAGATAAAATTTCTAAGATTCCCCAATGTGGGTCGGTGACCTGTACCCTGGTGGGCTGATCCCCATAAAAACCCAGTGTTCTGGTCTCTTGTATCAAATGCCTTCTACAGCTGAATTATTGTTTTATTGCTTGCCTGACTTGTACTGACTTGTATGCATTGACAACCTCAATTAGGTTTTCAATTGTATATTGAACAGTATTACTTACGAAGCTTGTATTTTGCACTGCACCGAAGATAATTTAAGTTTAAAATTGAACTACGCATATTTTTCATTCCAGGTTGAGTGGCGAACTCCTAAAGCCATACAGTACAGGCAAACTGAAATTAAAAGAAAAAAGTTCCGCTTCACTACAAACCGACCTTGGACACAGCAGTTTGAGAAGCAAAATCAACCTGGACTCAGGCGTAAAAAAGTGTTCGTGGAACCAATACTGGAATGGACCTTCTTCAAGTAAGTACAGACTCTAATGTGTTTCTTTTGTGTAACTGACATATGGGTCATAGTGAGGGACCTGTGTGATGTACACCACGAAACATCCCTGATGAGCTACACTGACTAGGAGGCCTAAATGTTTAATGGAAGACTGCAATTTTCAGATGAATGCTTCACAAGTTTTCTGATATAGAGAAAACTTCTCAGCCAGATAGCTCAGAGTCAGTTTCCATTTGTATCACAGGTTGGCTCAGGTCCAGTGAGGCTTCAAGTCAGAAGTTGCACCCCTTTCACATGTTTATATTCAAATAATCTTTAGTGCCAACCCTTTCAGACCTAAGTTTGGTTTGTTTTTGTATCCTGCAATAATTTTTTAAAGAAAAAAGGGAAAATTGACCATACAAATTGATGAAATATCATGTTAAAAGTCGTAACTCCCTCAAAAAACCTAAATCTCGTTTATTAGCTGCAGTTCCATTATGTTTACTTAGCAGTACAATAGCTTGGGCCACTACATCTTCCTGGCACCTCCCTGTGCTGACAGGTTGTTATTATGCACAGGCATCTCAAAACCGTCAACAGTAATGATCATCCTAAAGAATGTCTAGCATTGCATATTCACGGGGATATTTCATTGTGCTTGCCCTTCTATAGATATACTTAATCACTGTTCTGATCACTTACACTTATAGTACCATCACCACTCGCCCTCCTTTGGTTTTGATGGCATTTATGAGGATAGACTCCTAGCTTTTTATGGAGGTATTTCATCTTGCAGAACCTCTGCCTACCAAATATCATTTACTGTATTCTGTATCTGAACAAGCAGTCTATGAAACTCCCTCCCACAAAGTATGTTTCCTATATCATATAACGTTCATCAGTTCTAAAAATTTTGCTTCAAAGTGACACTTGGCTGATCTCTTCCTGCACTTTTTATTTGCTAAAAAAAATTATATATATATATATATATATATATATATATATATATATATATATATATATATATATATATATATATATATATATATATATATATATATATATATATATATATATATATATATATATATTTGTAGTTGAACTACTAGAACAAATCTTTTGACATATAATATTCCATTTTGTTCTGCATCAGAGGTGACCGTGTTGAAATCCTAGAAGGGAAGGACAAGGGCAAGCAAGGTTTGGTGAATTACATTATTCAGGAGAGGAACTGGGTCATGGTGGAAGGCCTCAACTGTCACTACCGCACCATTGGCAAGAAAAAGTAAGTGCTGTTGTATATTGGTGGTACTTTAGTACTATACATTATTGGAGGTTTGTTGTCATCTATGATTTATACAACCAGTCGCTCAAGATCCTTAACCAAGCTCACTCCTTTTACCCGGGGTTTGCAAATCCATTATACGAATATAAAGCTGTTACTGTATATGGTGTTTACAAACTTGTTTATTCATCATGGGTATTATTCATTAATTCTCTTTCCTGAAGGGTTATGATGTATACAGTATTAATAGAGGTATCTCTTGATTTACAATAATCCACATTAACGTTAGTTTGGTTTTAACACTCTTGTGATTTACATTAGGCAAATTCCACATTAACGATAGTTGTCAGGAGGCTAAACTTGCTGACATGGAATGTAAACACTGGGAAATTGTATCTTCCCGGAAGTGTATCTTCCCCCTTCTGTTGTCAAATCCAAAATGGCCGCTATGCGCAGAAACTGCTCTTTCATCCTCCGCCAGCTTCACTTACCCGTGCGCCACCTCACGGCCACCCTGCGTACGTACAGTCCCGCGCTTTGTTCCAATGTGATCGCTCCTACCCTCACTTGTGTCACCAACCTCATCGTTGTGTAACCTTGTGATCACTGTGATATTTGCCATTTATTGGTGAGAGGAAAACACTGTCCTTCAGATTTTGCTCTGTTTTAGTGACTAAAGTAATTAACTGCTAACTTTGAAAATGGCGAGCAAGCTTACTGCTGAGTCTCCTGCCTCTGGGAAAGCCAAGGCTTCGAGTAAGACTGTGTCTCTGGAGACGAAGTTAGACATTATTAAGTGGCATGAGTGAGGTGAAGGGTCGTGCTTGTTATTATGGATGTGGTGAGTGTTGTTTAATTGTTTGTATTTATGTAATTAGTGTAGGATAACTTTTTCTGTGATACATATCTGTGTCGGACAGGCCAGGAGTGTATCACATTGAAACCCATGTTAAAAGGCTCCTGATTTACGTTAATTTTGTTAGGTTTTCCAGGAACGCAACCCTCTGTAAATTGAGGGATACTTGTATTCATGATTAAAATACCATTAATTAAATGCAGTTTTCTCATAAGAAATGTGATATTCCAGAAATTATCCAGGAATGATGGTCAAGAGTGAAGCACCTCTTCTGGTAACAACTCAAGTGGGTCTTATTGATCCTTCGGACAATAAACCAACACAGGTGTGTTTTTGGGCTGCACATTATGGTTTTATGGGCTGTGATACTTATCTAATTACTTTCTTTACTGAGATACATATTTGATTGACTGATTTATGTCTTTTACTACTATATTGTACTATACTCTATTGTCTCTGTTATCATTCAGAATGTACTCTCTGAGTTGCTTAGAGTTATGTACAGTATAGAATTATAGTACTTATTGTACTTATTAAAACGATCCTGTGAATTTTTTTTATAGATTTTATAGAGACACTGGTGTTGTAGCTGCTCTATACAGTATATACAGTACAGTACTATATTTCATAGTGTTCATGGCATACTGTATATAAACGTTATGAGTAAAGCATATTTTGGGACCAGTTATCCAACATTTGGCAGCTTGTGTAGTGTGCTCTGTAAGTAATTGGTGTAGATTCTAGACTAAATAGGCCTGACATTAGTGGCTGGGACTAGTCTTACAATTAGTATGACCTCCAATACTAGTCATTAAATTATTCCTGACCACTAATTTCAGGTCTTGTGCATTTAGACCAATAGCTTAGTGAGTGCATTATGAGCCTGCCTGTTCCAGGCTTGGCCAGGAGAGACACCCATCACTTGACACCAGTTAAGCTCAATGCAGATGATTTTCTTTCCAGGCTGAATGGCGCTACACAGAGGAAGGAGATAAAGTAAGAGTCTCAGTACGTTCTGGAAGACTCATCCCGCTGCCTAAACTGGCTGAGGAGACTCAGGACTATAAAACCAAGTCAACTTACATAGAACAGGAGAAGGACACGCCTGCTGAGGAGCTAACACGGTACGTACTGTATAAATATGTACTTGCTGTTATATGTAGTCTACATCCTTGTCTTATTTCTTGGTCACTCTGCTGTTTTGCAAGGTATTGTATACAAAGTCTTTAGAGTAGCTGATTGCTACTGTCCTCTCTCCCTCTTTCTGTCTCTCTCCCTCTTTTTCTGTCTCCCTCTTTTTCTTTCTCTTCCAGGTTATTGGTACAGGTATACTGTACATACAAGAGCCAGGTTATTGGTATACACACTTTTTCGGAGTGAGAGTTGTGAACTCTTGGAACAATCTGCCAGAAAGTGTTGTGATGGCACCGAGTGTGAGTTCTTTCAAGACCAGACTTGACCAACACTGGAGCAGGTTATGGTACATTCAGGAGCCGGTGCATACCCAGTACCTGCCAACAGAGCGTAACAGAGAGCCAGTACATGACTAGTACTTGCCAACAGTGCGTGACAGAGACGTGACCGATCGCCCAAGCGGCTAACGAGCTGATCAATGGTGAAGAGGATAAAAGTAAAAGTAATATAATGATGGCCAGGTTATTGGTATAAACATAAGAAGCCATCATTGGTATACATATAATGGAGGCCAGGTTATTGGTATACATATAATAGACCAGGTTATTGATACTGTATTCATATTTAAGAAAAATTGGAGACTTAGTTTAACACCAGACTAAAGAATAGCACTCAACTAGATGGACACGACAAATTCAACCAGTTTGGATTTTTTTTTTTTTTTTGTGTGTGTGTGTGTGTATGCATGCGTGTGGGTTTCATGAATATTTTGTTTTCTTGGGAGTTGTGGTTAAAGTGCTGCTGGATATTAAAGAGGTTGCTGTTCTCTTCAAAATTCTGATTAAAGACTTGGCTTCAGAAAGTTAGCTATGCATGTACAGTATTGTAGTTTTGATAATAAGTTCTGCTACTGAACCTTGATAATTTACTCCCATTTTTTAGTGTTGATTATTCATATCCTCTAAGAATTTAATTTTTTCTCTATTTGACTGGAACAACTTTACTATTTGAATGTGATGATTTTCATTTTCAAAGCAGAGAGCATTTTCACGCTAAAAACTGTAAGGTTGATATAATTCTATGCCATTTTCGTATATTATAATATGAGTGCTACCCAACTTACTGATTAAGGATCTACAGCTTTTTTATTTTTTTAGTACTGTACAGTACTATACTGTATTGTGTTTAGTTGTGATAGGTTACTCTTAAGTTAAAATTTCATCAGAGTTGGAGCACTAAGTTATGCTCACTGTTTTTAGGTATTTACCCCCCGGTATATGATAGACTGAACTTGCTGAATTTATTCAACAAATCCAAGACATAACATGTTTTTGTTACAAAAATTTTCAAGTGCAATCCATTTTATTAGATTTTTCAATTTTTTTAGACTGTACTGTATTGTCCAATATATCAGTATACTGTACCCTGTAGGTACAGAACTGTTCTGTATTCCCCAACAATCATTGAAACTCGGGGATAAAAAAGTACGGGGACCCCCCAAGTTTGTGGATTTTTATTTTGCGGTTCTCTATTATTCACGGATGTCTGTGGGTAGTTTTAAAGTTGCCGGCATTTTCGCGGCTGGGACAGTGAGCCATAAAGGGCATATACATTTCTTTGTACACAAGTAAAAATGTACACCCCCCCCTCCTCCGCAAATGTTATTCGCGGGCATTTTGAGAACCTAACCCCGGCGAATTTGGGGGGCACCCTGTCATTAGTTGTGTTAATGACCCTTGATACAATTTTGACCATTTACAAGTGCAGTACTCTACATACTGTACAATTGAGGTGTTCCGTGTAAGAAGAGCAAGAGTTCAAAGATTAGGGTTTGAGAGAAACATGTTTGAAAATTTTTTATCCATCCCTGTCCATACCTCAGGCAAAACATTATCGATTTTCTTCAATTTTGTCTTATTTTGTAGTTTTAGGGAAATACTTTATGAATATGTAAGAGTAAAATGATTAACCAGCGCAGTTGGCAAGTTGTCCAGTCTTCTCGGATTGTTCCTTGACATTGAGCCATACAGCTCATTAACTTAAGGTGTAGTTGTTGTGTTGGTGACAGCTTCTACACTTTAAATAAATTAATTCCTCGGTGACTCTAGGTCAGCCATCCTTGAACACGGGGGGCAACCATTATATTATAAAATACTGTATATGTGTTTTATTTATTTATTTACAGTTATTTATAGTGCAGTTACACTTAATTACTTGGTGAAATGAATTACACAAATCATGATTGTTCACAAAGGAGCATCTAATTTGGAATATTTCATAAGAAATTTTCACAAAATTCCACCTAATTCAGAAATTCTTTAGCCCCAATTAATCTGAATAGTGTTTATTATAAATTAACTATATTTCTGCTCCAATATATGTAGCTTATCTGTATTCAGGGTCATCCATCTTATTATTTTTGATACAGCACCTATGCTGCTACAGACCTACAGTAATCATTCCATATAATGGAACAAAGCGTGTAGATCAATTCCGCTAAATCGAATACTGTACTGTATATGTTATGTCCAGGGACACTTTCCTCTGCTTCAGACGGAATAGTGTTGGTAGGTAAATCCTTCCGAAATTGCCAGTTTTATCACCTTTATACATTTGGAGTCATGAAGATTGTTCTCTGTATGGAACTTTTTCAACTCCTCCTTGAAGGGAGCAATACTGTCAAGATTGGCACTATGCCTCTCCCTTGCTATCTGCCAGTTACTGATGTTATGGCAAGTACAGAACTTCTGCAGCCAACCACTATTGGTATGAAATCCTTCGACGTTGAGGAGTGTTAAAAATTTTTCACCTGCTAATTGTAGCTCAGGACCTCGTACAGGTTAGCCCTATGCTCGCAGTTGTTTATACCATTTGTAAACAGCCTCATCAACTGTTGGAAACACAGCTTTCTTCAGACTTCATTTTGCCATGGCCTGACACTCTTTTCTGTAGCTTTCCTAATATTTCTAGTTTCTGTAAAATTGAGAGCTTACCTCTTTTACCCTTCTATTCACTGGATTTAGCATTCACTTTAGGCATAGTGACATTGATATACATGCACATATGCTGGGAGAATATGAAAAAACCTGGTAGACCACAACAATGTGCAGCGAGGCGTGGCAGGAAACTGACTGATCGTGCCAAAACAATGATGTGAGCCCACGTGGGCGTTAGCGGAAACTCCCTTCATCTAGATGGAGAAGCAGATGCCAGCATAAATTTTTCTGCTAAATCAAACTTACACTAAAAGGAATTATGTTATAAGGAATGATTACTGTAGTTATCTTTCCACCTCTTAGCTGGATGTTTCAATTCTAAAAGAAAATTGAGGATTGTTCTTATATGACTGAGAGATTATAAGACCTCCCGAGTCCTTCTCAACAGACTGTACCTCTATTGTCTCCCAGTTACAGAAAACATAAGGAAATATATCCTCTGTTTTCATTTTCTATTTGTCTTACTAATCTAGCAACTACACCAAAAGAACTAGAAGAGATGGCATGCTCCAGGTCTTTATGATTTTTCCAGGCCATTCACTTGCCACTGGTCATAAACAGAAATTTTAAAATCAATCCTGTATTTTTTTCACAGCATCACCTTTGAACCTCAACTGAAGACATTTGCAATGGATATAGCGGACAAAATGGGCATCAAAGAAGATAGAATTCCTCGTAAAACTTACTGGTATTAGATTTTTAAACAAAATCACTGTACATATATTTGAATGTAACAAAGTAATAAAACTTGTTTATATAAATGAATTGTATCTTACTTCCTCTCCAACTAAGTGGGGTAAAACAGATACACTCTAAACTCCACTGAAAATTGAATAATCTAAGTGCTGTTATCATAAACATCCTTAAACTGTAATGTAATCAAGTCATTCACACATAAACATGCTGAGAAACTTGTGTAAGTCCTGCAGTTTTCGTGTAAATCTGTTTAAAGTTAAAGTTCTAAAAATGGAAAAAATTGGTTAGCAGAGATTTTTAATCAATTCATAAGTTATGGTAATAAATATTAGGTTAGGTTAGGTCCAGTCAGCAACTTAAGTGTAATGTACAGACTGTGTTATTCTCCCTGTCTTGATGTTATCTCTCTCTCCTCATACTGACAACCCGTGTGAGGAGAGATGTAAGCACGAAGTGACTAGCGGGTAGTTTTACTTAATAGCAAAATCGACCATATTGCCGCTTCCATTCTAAGTAACCGGGTGTCTCTCAGGATACAGAGGTGGGTTCCCTATCATTTTGTGAATTAGTCTCAATTTTGACCATTTTGGCACTTTGTACACTCTGGTCATATGCACCTCATATTGTCTCCTGTCTCTCCAAGGAGACTCGCAAATGTAATTTAGATAATGATAGGGACCACAGTTAAAGGACCAAACTATATGTTCCCTGCAAATGTAGTGGGGGAATAAAAAGGTTAAGAAGAAAAATTTTCCATTCAGAACTTATATACAGTAGTACTGTGTATACTGTACTGTATTGAGGACATTGGTAGGTGCTTAATACTGTAGTAGCAGACCCTCTCCTTACTACAGGGTGAGATTACATTGACGATCATACATCTGGCAGCAATGCTACAGTGGTCATGAATCTGCAACTTTCATAAACTACTTATTTGACCTAGTTTAAAATATTTACTGTACTGTACTACAGTATTAGGGAATACGCTTGAGCCTGCCACTTCCTCTACAAAGATTAAATTGAAAATCATTATCATTTTATGCAGAATAAAATAGATTAATAATTTCATAATGGAAATAGAGTAGTGGATGAATGGAACAAGTTACCAAACATCATCATTAACTCGAATACGCTCAACAGCATCAAACATAGGTTGGATGGACGTATGAGCAATAGGGGTTGGGTGTAAATGGAACTGCCCAGTATGGGCCAATAGGCTCGCTGCAGTTTCCTCCATTCTTATGTTCTTATGTTGGTGATGGTGTTGGTTATTTTATAATTAGTGATGGTGGTGGTTGTGTAGTTTATGAATGTTGTTGATGGTGAAGGTGATGTAATTGGTCATGATGATGGTGATGCAGTTGGTGATGGTGATAAGGGAGACAATGGTGGTGAGGGAGACAGTAGTAGTGGTGGTGGTGGTAACAATGGTAGTGATGGAGACAGTAGTAGTGGTGGTGGTAACAATGGTAGTGATGGAGATAGCAGTGGTAGTCTTCCTGTTACGGACCCCACCAGCCAATCAACAAGTGACAGTAAATACACCCTCCATTTTTTACCATGATCACTTGCCGACTCCACCCGCTCCACATTGTATCATTTACCCTTTTTGTTGAAAAATATGGACCATGCACCGTGTTGGTCACTCCATTCACTTATTTAGAGCGAGAATCATGTGCGGGTTAGTATATACTGTACGTATGTGTATGGCTGTGTTGTGTATGTGTGTGAGTGAATGATATTTATTTGTTTGTGAGTAGTTTGGTGTTGGTGAGTGTTGTGTTGTTTTTAAGGATTTTGTTTGAGAATGTTCTGCGTTTTGAGTGTTTGCTGTATGTTAGTGTGTTGTGTTTTTGATTGGAATTGTGTTTGTTGTTCGAGGGTTTGTGTTTGTTTGTGAATGTATTGTGTGTTTTTTAGTGTTGTTTGTAAATTGTGTTTGTGTGTCGTTTTTTAGTTGTTTGTGAATGTGTTGCGTTTTTGAAAGTTTATTGTGTGTACTGTATTGGAGTTGTTAAAGTGTTTTTATTAGTAAAGATCACAGAATTCACCTGGACTTTTAGCGAGCTGGTTGACCTTGTAACGCTACCTCGAACATATCCTCATCCACACTTCCTTATATGCTCCCGCCTCCCGGACGATGCTTTAATATACGTACTAATAACATTTCCTTCCGCTTTGTTCAGAATGCTTTTTGACTACGATTAAAATGGTAACAAAACTCTACAATATTATTCAAGTACCTGTATATATTTGTCTTTTTGGTATCGATATAAACAAGTAACAAAAATGGTATTGTAAAAATCGCTCCCTCAGTCGTGGAAGTAAGTGGGTTAGCTTATTTCTCCTAAAGATAAACTACATTATCCTAACCTATCCTATCCAATCCAAAGCTATCGCTGACCTAACTTAACCTATCCTATCCTAGCCTAACTCCATCCTACTCAAATCGTACTGTAATGGGGTGTTTAATCTTCAGGTGATCCCAAATAACAGGTGTTGATCTACGCTATAGCTGTTCGTATGCTGATGAGGTGTGCATCACAAAAGGTGTTAAGAGGGTCGATAACAAGAGCCGATTTACACTACAGCTATTACCAGGATCAACAAAAAGGTGTTAGAGAATGTGACATTGTGTTGACCTACATGGTTCCCTGAGGGTGACGGTAGTGGCTGCCGTGTTCGTGACCCATACATCAGACGCTTATTAACCAACAGTGGGATAAAAAAATTTTTGGAGGTTTTTGTAGGACACGGCAGGTAACCCGGGTGGAGTGTCGTAGTGCAAGTCATGGGTGGTGTTGCTGGTACTGTCTGAATGAGCTCTACTTATTTATATTTAATTTATCATTTCCATTATTAATTTATTAGCGGTTAGGGGCGTTCGGGCTGTTCTTTGTTGTGACCTCTCAGCACTACAGGTACTACTACCACTAACATCACTATACTACTACTACAATTACTACCATCACTACTACTACTATTGCTACTACATGGTTAATAAGTTTAAGTTAGTGTTGCAAGGTTTTGATTTGGTGAGATTAAATTTGTATTTTGGTCTCGTGGGTGGGTGTGGTAACACTGGTGTCTCCTCACTGGTGTCTGGTTCAACCCGGTATGTACAGGGTGTCCCAAAAGCCCTGTGAAAGTTGATCCCACCAGTGAACCAGGAGCATTTACGACGATATCTATTTAATCACATCACCATTAAATCGCTAAAGACGGGATGTAGTTTGAACATGCGATAATAAAAAACCTAGTGAAATATACCTTAACATCATTTATACTGTATGTTGTTTAATGTTTCCTCTATCACAAAGCCATTAAGGACATCCTGTGTGTGTGTGTTTGTGTCCTAAATTTTCTGTTATCTTTCACTATAAAGTTCCAGGGACGCTATTTATCATCAACTATGGCGTACCTTTAGCCAACAATAGGACAATAATACACATTGTATGGTTACTTTTAGAGTTTATAAACGTTAGTATACTCCCGGACACTGTAAGGAATGTGTACTTTTGTGTGACATCTTGTAGCATGGTCGGTTTTATACAGCCGGTTACAGCGTCCAGTAACGATAGTACAGTACAATATATATTTTAACACGTTTGTATGTGCATTTGTATATCGGTTCCTTGTTGTCATACATTATACATGGCAACAAAATATCGATTTGTACTTGCTTATTATATAAGTGGACAGCGAATAAGGAATAAATTTATATGTACAGTACAGTCGGCGTCAAAAGGTCGTTCCCTCCCAAAATGAAGCAGCATCGACCCCATGTGAGATAAAATAGCACAACCGCACCAGATGACACGCGGGGTAAATAATTTCGGAGAATCATTCCCGTGACTTAATTTACCGGGGAGCAAACTTTTGGCCGCGAATGTACACTGTACTTGCTAGGTGCATAAGTGGAGTGCAACATGGGGTCCACCCAACCCCTAATAGGAAGAAAAATAATTTCATATTTTTTTGACGAATTACAAATCAGTGATTCTCATACCACACCAATATAATTTGAATATTTTCCACATCTAATCTTTTGCACCACTAACCTAGCCTATAAAATGGTACTGCATCAAATTTGCCAACAGTATAGGAACTCCTGTGGTCACTGAAGCACCGTCCAGGGGAGGAGTTCTGGTTTAGGGCCCAGGGCTGCTATTTCCCGGAAACAGAAATACTAAGGAGATAGACATTTGGATATTGGCGTTTCACAGAGAAATTTAAATCCTTTTAAAGCCTTTGTCTCTGACTAAATCTTATAAACTGAACAAATATATTAAACAGGTTGTTGTCCCAACCTCCAGTTCCAGCTGCACCTAGCCAATAAGTTCACAATTTTGCTGCCGTGAATGAGTCAGGAAACAGGAAGTGATAGAAATCAGTGGTTCCTCGTTGTCAGTAACCGTTCAGGCATGGCGCTCAACGCGTCACCCTGGTTACCCATAACACTATACTCGTATGCCATTTACCATCACCAGCGACCCATAGTGTAAATCTGGTGTCAATTTGCCTTGTCCAAAGATATATACAGTATATGGTCACTGATCTGGCACTGGCTTTAAAGTGTCACTATCCTCATAGTTTCGCGTAGAAGCGAAGAGGGAACAACACAAAACACTGGTTTTGCGAGCAGCCAGGTTACGCCCAGCTGACTAATATGGATGCCACGCATTTCCACCCTATTTAGGCATCGCCTTTACCAGGACTGAATAACTGCCACACACTGATTCTAAATCTAAAAAAAAAAGAAGGGCATATGTTCTTATGTAATTTAAGATTTTAAGCTGTGATGGCAGTGGGGTCCATCAAAGCATTTGACAGAGTGCCGCATCAGAGGCTTCTGAGAAAAGTTAAGGCTCATGGTATCAAGGGAAAAGTTTTAAATTGGATAAAATCATGGCTCACCGATAGAACGCAGAGGGTCAGCGTAGATGGTGTTAAATCTGAGTGGGGCTGTGTAACCAGTGGGGTTCCCCAGGGGTCAGTATTAGGCCCACTCTTGTTCATAATCTACATAAACGATCTAGATACTGGGATCAGCAGTGACATAAGCAAGTTTGCGGATGACACCAAAATAGGGCGGCAGATTAATTCAGGGCAGGATGCAAATGCACTACAGGAGGATCTAAATAAACTGCAGGGGTGGTCTGAAAAATGGCAAATGAAATTCAACACCAGCAAGTGCAGCGTACTTAATATTGGAAGAACAAATACTGTCAATGTATACAGCCTTCACAACATCAACCTAGAGAAGTCGACTTGTGAAAGAGACCTAGGGGTACTTGTAAGCCCGGACCTACGGCCTAGAAAACAGTGCGTTAATGTTCGAAATAAGGCAAACAGAGTATTGGGTTTTATATCTATCTAGAAGTGTAAGTAATAAGAATGCAGAGGTCTTATTGCAACTATATCTTGCACTAGTCAGGCCGCACCTCGATTATGCGGTTCAGTTCTGGTGCCCCTATTATAGAATGGATATCAATTCACTAGAGTCGGTGCAGCGAAGAATGACGAAAATGATTCCGGGACTTAGAAACCTTCCATATTAGGATAGGTTAAAGAAACTAAACTTGCATTCCCCAGAAAGACGAAGAGTGCGGGGAGATATGATAGAAGTATTTAAGTGGGTGAAAGGAATCAATAAAGGGGATATAGATAAAGTTCTTATAATATCCGAGCAGGATAGGACTCGTAGCAAAGGATTTAAGTTGGATAAGTTTAGGTTTAGGGAGATAGGAAGGAACTGGTTCACAAATAGGGTGGTGGACGAGTGGAACAAGCTTAGCAACTTTGTAGTAAGTGCGGGAACTCTGGAAAGTTTCAAAAGGAGGCTGGATAGATTCATGGATGATAGAGAGTGGTAGTAACTCTCGACAGGAGCTGCCATGCACAGGCCAACCGGCCTATTGCAGACTCCTTATTTTCTTATGTTCTTATAATTTAGTGTGTGTGTGTGTGTGTGTGTGCACAATATTAAAAACACGACAATTAAATTTTAATGACAATTTTTATACTTAGGGTAAGGAAAGGTGAACTTGGGCCAGGTGATTCGATAGTGGATGAGATTGTTGAAAAGTCTAGGTAACTCAGCGCCTCCATCAGTGACTAAGAGTAAGAGCCAGCCTCCACCCTCCCCAGCGCTTGTTTACCCAGCTGGTGCGGTCACAGTTACAATGCAGTATAGCAGTGTAATAAGGTGTGACTACGTATTTACAACCATACACACACGAAGAATTTTTAGAGGACAATAATACTGATATCTGTGTGAGGGAGCTGTATAGATCCCATTATTAATGCACTGCGAGATACTAGTGGACATGATAGAAGCCTTCAACATGATACAAGGTACAATTATCAAGTTGGGTCAACCACTGTGACCACTTGACAACACTAACACAAGTCATAGTTTTAAGCTTTTCAGTACACGTCCAAACACTAAAAGCTGAGACAAAACATCCCCCTGAGCAGTTGGTCTTGTCTACAAATATGATGATCTTCGAGAAAAGACTAGACACGCAGTCGGCAGATCAAGATGCCATGTTCCATTATAAAGCCTTGAATCTATGTTGTAATAGAGCTACTCACCCGTCCGCTTTGGTGTGGAATGACGTCAGGAACAGACAAGGAGCTGAATATCCTGAAGAGTAATAAGTAAAATGATTAAGTATAACGTAGGATCCGCGAGAGAGAGAGAGAGAGAGAGAGAGAGAGAGAGAGAGAGAGAGAGAGAGAGAGAGAGAGAGAGAGAGAATCGGTTCAGCCACCATAGCCGCTTTCTGTAACCGGAAGTGTTCCTCATGATGCCAGGAAATACACCCTCTGTTGCTGTTGCCTACACCCACCCTATCCCCTACACCTTCGATACACCATCATCTTCCCTTACACCCACCATTCTACACCCACGGTCATCTTTCACCTGAGTATTTTTTTTCCGACGATTTTCTAAGGAAGTAACAGTCTGGAATATTTTTCTAGCTATTCAGTTTGGCCATATTTGATTGGTAGTAAAATTTGTATACGAATTATTAAATGGCAGTGGAACATTAACTCAGCACAATTTAATATCCAAATGTATAGTAACAGTAGTGAACACAATAAACGCACTTAGTCACTGGAAGTGACGCACTATGGCACAATAACTCACTAGTCATATAATGTTATCTGTTATTTTCCGTATTATACGGATTGCAGTCCCATGTCGCACAAAGAACATGGCGAGTCAATTCCAAAAATAAAAAAATAAACACTATCTGGCAACTCTTTCAATGAGTGTATAAAACAAACAAATTTTCGGACAGATCAGATCAGATCATTCCCAGCAAGCTTTGGGAGTATTTGTGCTGAAGAATTATTGGAATTTTTACACGACGAATTTCATAGCTTCTGCAGGATATTTGTAACTTCTGGAAGGACAGCATAATTATCTTCTGCCGGAGCATTCTCAGCTGAGTGGGTAATATATTGATTTGAAGATGAGGAATTGTGCATGTGTCTTCGGGTAAAAAAAAAAATAATATGTTTGCCTTTGTCTTACGATAGAAATTTTAATTTAGGGCTTGCATTCCTTGTTGTGTAAATTAATTTCGACCAGTAATTTTTAGGGTATTTGTGCTTATCATCAGCAATAGATGAAGTGGGCTCTCGTGGACATAGCTCACAAGTGTTTTCGTATTAATTATCTTATTTCTACTGGCAATAGTACAGTGGGTAAGTTGTACCACCATGGCGTTACTATAAGTGTTCAAACGGACTTAAACACTAATATATACAAGTGACAATTGTTGATTACAATTTTTTATATATTAGAGAAAATGAAATCAGGCATATCAATACTAAACAAAAGATTAAAATTATATATTTCACTTTTTTTTTACTTCCCCGGTTGATTCTCTCCCCTCCAAAGGAAGTATCTTTGGGTTCTCTCAGTAGAAGGCACTTGTGAATCTATAGAACGCTGCACGCTCCTGTTTACGGGCAAGAATGTGAGAACAATTCTGTAAATTTTAAAATAAATGTATTGTGCAGAACGTACGAGTTCAGCAGACCTGTGAAACGACACAAGCAGATCACGTGTTAAAATTGGCAAATACCGTGAACCTCGTCGACCGTTGTCCATCTACGGCTACGCCCCACACACGGAGAGCCAATTAAAATGGGAGGTTAAACATAGGCAAACAACACATAATTTAGGAAACCCACACAAAAAACGCGTGGGACTACAAAATACATCAACAACGTTCTTTTGTAATATAATTTCTATTGATCAGTAGCACACCCGAAGTACAGTATGATAACACATGCAAGTACAGATATTATAGCAGTGACTCGATGACCAATACACCGTCATTAATACTGGGTTTAGATAATTGTGTTGTCATGCAGTCCTGTACATATTCATTTAAGATATTGTTTATTATTTAGGAGTTCAGTGTAAATTCGTGGATAGTACAGCATGTCTATACCATTATGGAATCATTAGTACTGTACATGCTAGACATACCCAGCTCAGTCTGTTTCTTCAATTAACCTTTACATCCTCTCCGATAAGGGAGTATAATAAGTTCACCTACTGGAGATAATGTTCTTGCATTTTTAGTGGAAATACTGTATATGCCCTCATGTTGTGGGAATATATTTGTATCTCCACTAAAATGCAAGAACGTTCTTTCCTTCGACCATGCTCGATGCTGCCTCTCTGCTGGGTTTTGTGGTTTACAAAATACAGTTCAGGATGCAGTTTACAAAAAGTATGCGTTGTAGTACAGAATGTAGTTTCACCATCCGGTTGACTTTTTTAACACGGTTTTGCTTCACAGCTGCAAAAATATCCTATACTTCCGCTTGCGTTACCTGCGTCCTCTCCCAAACCTGAGTCAGCACCTGCGTGTGATAGCCTTATCAATAATTGTAAACAACTACATTCACATATGGATGAAAGTAGCAACCACAATTTAATAATTTAATACTAAAATAACATAATCCAACATTGTTTGCCTTTTTGAAGCGATTATGGGCCAGTGTTTGAGGGGCTAATAACTTTTTAATTTCTACGGGCCCTTTTGCTGTGTACAGAAGGAAGTTGATGCTACACAAAAGCTGCCTCGTGGATAAGATAATGGAGAACAAATTTGGGATGCTGGTGCGGATGTATAGTTAGGGGTTAGAGGTGATATGAGACATTATATTGAGGTATCGATGTGAGTTGTTTGTTTTACAATATCACACTGCGCCGCTTCACAAGTGTAAAAGGAAAGTGTTTGAAAATTACTTGCTGGTCCTTATAGCTATGAATATTAACAGCTGACTTGAATGTGTATTGAATCTGTACCCGCCATTTCTTTTTATAATGCCTCCTGTCATAAAACGATTTTCTTTGGAGCAAAATTATAACGGCATATTAGCTGTTTTAGTGAGGCGAACTTAGTCGAGAAGAGTGCGCTACCATACCAGTGAGTGTTTAATCACTCTATACATTGAGGGTGCGTTAACTGCCTTCCCTCGTCTCACATTGTCCCACCATTTTTTTTTCAATGACATTCTAAGTGCGGAAACGTAGGGATTACTGTTAGAGCGCCATTAACACACTCCACTACTGTTGCACCACAATAACGCTTCCTATTGCCCACTATACTCCAACAGGGACCAAGATGATCTTCCTGGTGGTGTTGGTGACCGCCCTACTGACGGTGGCGGCCGCCCACCCTCACCCCATGGATCTACACGGTGCGTATTATACAGGTACTCCCTTTGCTATGAGACTAACACGTGTACCCGACTTACGAACAAGGTACAAATTAGCCTTCTTATAATGTAGCCCCCAGTTTTTGTCAGCTTTGTTATGTGTAGTCTCATTAGTGTCAGCCCTCTTATATGTAGCCTCCTGTTATTGTCAACCCTCTTATATGTAGCCCCCTGTGTTATTGTTAACCCTCTTATATGTAGCCCCCTGTGTTATTGTTAACCTTCTTATATGTAGCCTCCTGTTATTGTTAACCCTCTTATATGTAGCCCCCTGTGTTATTGTTAACCCTCTTATATGTAGCCTCCTGTTATTGTTAACCCTCTTATATGTAGCCTCCTGTATATTGTCAACCCTCTTATACAACCCTCTTATATGTAGCCTCCTGTTATTGTTAACCCTCTTATATGTAGCCCCTTGTTATTGTTAACCCTCTTATATGTAGCCCCCTGTGTTATTGTTAACCCTCTTATATGTAGCCCCTTGTTATTGTCAACCCTCTTATATGTAGCCCCCTGTGTTTTTGTCAACCCTCTTATATGTAGCCTCGTAAATCACAACTGAAGCACATGCCAGTTTTGATGACGGCAGCACTGTAACTTTAACACTCACATACCATTAGAACACTTAACCATATCGACTAATTACCACTACTAACTACGTTCCACCGCCGCTAATGAACCCCCCCCACCCTCTACCACCCCTCCAGGAGAATGTATGGCTATGAGGACTCAGCATGAAGGTCGGCAGATGTTTGGGGTACCCATGCCCAACTGTCTCAAAGGGATCCAACCCCCGAAGAGCCACATCAACACCATGAAACAGTGTGCCATTATGGTAAGGTCCTGACATCTTATAATCCAGCCTACCTCAACACGTTTATAGTTTTTTGGGGGGAAATTCTATGATATATCGGAACATTTCATTTTTTGGGCATCACAATATTGCTATCTAGAATATTATCTCCCCTAACAAAGAAATAAGAGAAGATATATAATTTGAATTTGTATCCTGTAATAAAAACGAATTGCTATCTTTAGATATAGGTAAGCTAGTGTCCTCCCCTACGGACTTAAAGAAACCTAAGAGAAGATATATAATTTGAATTTGTATCCTGTAATAAAAACGAACCTTGCTTTCCGTCCCGCAGATCAAGAAGAAAGTCATCATGGTTCAGAAAGAGAGATTGTTGTCTTTGAGCTTCGATATGGAAGGTAAGCTCAGGCGAGTGTCCGAGATCCCATGTACGGGAAAAAAATAAGTGTGGCAAAACGGATCTTAAAGTCTCGCTAAAACCTAACTTAACCTTATCATACCTAACCTAACCTATGAAATGTCTAATGTTTTATTACGACTTCGAAGGAAATAATTTGTACATGTTGACGATCAATTCTTCATTGTATACTATAGACCTTACGTTTGGTTATACATTTCTGAATCCTACTTAGACTATACTGGTACTATACGTTTCCTGGACAGGGATGATGGGCATGGTGAAGGAGGCGCTGAGTGAGTGCCTGGTGGAGAAGATGGAGCTGGTGGGGGAGGATGACGCCCTCAACATCACCAAAATTCTTCAGACAGTTTCCGAGATCAGCCACCATTTTATTACCCTAAAACAATAGGAGTAATAGGTATAGAAATAGTGGTACTTGGCTGTAAGAGTAATTTAAGTAGTAGTAATAGTGTAGTAGTTGTAGTAGTAGTAACAGTCAGTAGTAGTAGTAAAAGTAGTACAGTAGTAGTAGTAACAGTATTACAGTAGTAGTAGTACTAATTGTAGCATCAGGAGGAGGTTCTGTTGACCATCCTTTTCTCTGTCGTTTCAGGTGATGTACATGAAGGTGGTTGTCGCGTCCTGTGCCTCCAAAACCACCGGCGACAACACAACAGAGGTGAGGTCACGTCTACGTCAGGTTAGGTGGAAAACCAATAACATTACAGGAGGTCAGATGAGAAAATAAGAATAAGGGGAACTATTAACCCATACTATATATTTTTTTTTATAGGCAGCCCTGTTTACACCCAGCCCTTAACACTCGAATGTCTATCCAACCTATATTTGAAACGTCCCAGCGAGTTCGAGTCAATGACGATGTTAGTTTATTTGTTCCACTAATGCACAACTCTTTCCCAACCAATGTTAAGTACCTTAGTTAAATCACCTTAATTTAATCTCATCTTTCATTTATACGTTTGGATCATATATCAAATATCACCCTTCACTCTAGTACGGTGACCAAATCTGAATCGAATAATCCAAGTGTAGTCTCATTAAAGCAAGGTGTAGTTGTAAAGTTAAACTCAGGTAATTAATTAAAGGTGAGGAAAGGTTAGGTATTATCGTGTCCAGTTAAGGGTGATATATATAACTATGGGTCATAATTATGTCATAAGGTTCATATATTGTGTAGTTACGGGTTAGAGAAGGTTAGGTCAGATAATGAAGCCATGAAAACAATATACCAGGTCTGAATTGGTCAAAGGTTACGTCGAAAGGATAGAAGATTGATAAAGTGATAAAGTTCAAAGATTACACACTACAGACAATAAAGGTCAACTTAATGAATAGAAAGTTCAAATAAGATAAAATGTATTTCTTGTTTTCGATGATTTAGGAGTTTTCGTGGTTCTTGTGGAATAAATTTGACTTCTAGTTTAATTTTCAATATTGTGATTTTTTTTTCTCGATTTTTCTCATTCTCTTCTGTATTTTTCTTTCTCTTTATGTGTCTTAACCCCGTGAGTGAACCATCAGTTGTGTGTGTGTGTGTGCTTTGAATCTCTCTCTCTCTCTCTCTCTCTCTCTCTCTCTCTCTCTCTCTCTCTCTCTCTCTCTCTCTCTCTCTCTCTCTCCTCATCAGGTGAAATAAGCTGGGTTGCCTGATCTTCACGTGATCCCTTTCAATTTCAGCACTTCATGAACCTGATGGACTGTGTGCGCGAGGAGATGATAAAGTTCTGTGAAAATCGTGACTCCATGCTCAAGATAGCGCTCCACAGTTTCACCGAGGCTTCTGTGTGTTCCCCTGTCCAAGTTCCCCCTGAGGTGAGTTCTCCTGTCTGTCCGTTTGTCTGGTTAGTCTTTGTCATTCTCTCTGGGGTATATTATTCACATTATTATTTTTCTCATATATATAGTTCTTTATGAGTATATTAACTAGCCTATTGGTGTAAAATTACTTATCTACTATCAATATATTAAAATAAATTCCTCCATGGGTATACACTAATCATTGTTATATTGACGATTTCAAGATTATGGTTTTTTTTAGTCTCAAAGAATTATTAACATTTGTAGCCGCTGATGTACTGCAAGGAATGTGCCAAGGAGCTGGGAATTGGCGGCTTCGTTTGTGGTACGTAGTGGTGAGCTAAGGGGGGAGGGGTGGGGGGGTGAGAGAAGGAGTGTAGTGGTGAAGGTTGAAATGTACAATATATAGATCAATTGAGAAATGCATGAATTTAGATACAAACTGTATAAATTTAAAGATATAAGCTTGATAGATTGAAATATATAGAAAACAGAGAACAATTAGAAAAGAATGAGGAAAGAGACACATGTATAGTAGTCACATTAAGACAATAAGCACTCACTACGCCCACATATCCAACAGGAAGTGAGGAGGATGAGGAAGAAGGAATCAGAAAGCACGGTGGCCACTTGAGATGGGAAGAGGAGGAGGAAGAAGTAAGTATTTCCTTCGTTATTATTTGTATTAATCTGTTGATATATAATGAATCAGCAACCATTTTTATTCACATATTAAACAGCATTTTTTTCTGTGTGGTCTGCTTATATAGTGTCGTAATACTGAACACAAAAGGTTCATAGCAAAAATAAAAGAACGTACCTCCCGCCCGAATGGCTAGTATGCTAAGTAGTGACATGATAAAAAAAGGCCAAACAAATATGGATAGGCTTTACATATTTCCTCCCTCCAGTATTAAATTTCTGTGGTTTGTCATGCTTTCACTATCTGCATATTCAACTGACTGTGACTGTGGACTGGCGAAATAAAACATATGCCAGTCATTCTTGAGGACTTTTTCAACTCCTGAAAAATTAAGTAATTTTCCTGGTGAAAACTCCACTGTTACGGCAATTAAAAAAAAAACTTATATGACCCCTCAATAAGCTCCTCTCCTTCCGGTGCTCAAGGTAGTATTCCCACACCCCCAGCAGGAGTGGGCTGTACGTCTATGCACCAGCGAGAAAATGGGCTGGTATAACGCGAGTGACAAAACCTTCGACTTCGAGGCTATGGGTAACACCATTGCTAATTTCGATGGTTGGCAAGACATTCCAGAGGTGAGTTTAACTGAATATTTATACATTTGTGGCTGCGTGAGTCATATGATTGCTTATGTTTATTTGTCACTTGTAATGTCTTTGTGTATATGTGACTTGAGGTTCTCTGTGTGTAAATGCGTTCATGCTTGGGAATTCATGATTATTTGTATATACAGTAATTATATTCGCATGTGTTGGTATATACAATTGTATGTATATAAATGTATTCATATGTTCGAGTATACATTAGTGTATATGTGTTCGTCTCTATATACGTCTACAACCGTGTACTCACCATCACACACTGGCAGACTCTGGGGAATGTGACGAAAGCGATCGTGGAGTGTGTGCCGCAGGAGGAGGGAAGCATGGAGGTGCAGGCAATGCTCTGGACCTCCTGCTTCCTCCCCAGGTACTTCGACAGCTGCGGCTTCAAGAGTGAGTACCAAGCTTCTCCCGCCTCCATGTATATATATAAGTTAATTATGTGTTCTTAATCCTTCATCAGGTAGTGAATCATTTAGAGTTTTTGGGTGTACCTGAACGTTAGCCTTGGCGAGTTAGCAATGAAATTTAGTTTTAGTGAGAATGTTACGTAGAATGAATTTCGGGTATCAATTATCTCTTGATTGTGTTTGTTGTGTAATAACCGAAAGTGATTATATTAGATAGATGACCTAATTATTAGACACCTTGACATTTCTTTTGATGATTATACACCCTAACGCACCTTGGGGGGTTGTTAGGGTATTTTAATGATCAGTTGAAATAAGCCATGGTGTCTAATATTCAGGTGATATGATAAACTTATACAATGTAAAGGAATTAACACCTTAGAGGGCAGCCCTACACTTAGTACACACACATACACAACGTCTTTAAGAGTCTCCTCCTCGGTACCTACAGGTAATCTGACGAGGCTGTTCTTCCCCGGGTTTGGGAGGAACATTATGAGGGAGATGAGCAAAGTTGCGAGGAAGTTCATAGGCCTGGGGGAGGAGTACCTGGGCTTCGATGACGATGAAGATGACTTGGACGCCGAGATGGTGGACGGTAAGTGGTCATTGTGTTTATAAAGTCCCTTGATGTTTGTCTTTACTCCACTTTATTTACACGTTGGACTTTATTTCCACACTGGACTTTATTTCCACGTTGGACTTTATTTATATGACTCCATGGCAGCTTATACTGACGTGGTTTTGTGTGTTCTTATTTAGCGGGCTTGTTGGCTGGTTCACCGGAGGAGGAAGAGGGTGCTGGGCTACTGGAGGAGGAGGAGGAGGAGGGTGACGGAGAGACCATGACAGCAGATAGCCAGGAACCTCAGCCTATGTCTGCCCCGATGAAAGTAAGACATGGTGGTGGTCATCACTGTCTTGTTTAGTTTCTTATTTTGAAATAATGTAATGTGTGTGTGTGTGATATCAGTAGTGTGTAAATTTTGAAGCCTGGTGTGGTTCATTGAATAGGTATATACATTCGCGTATTTGAGAGAGAGAGAGAGAGAGAGAGAGATTCGCGTATTTTAGAGAACGAAAGAGAGATTTGCGTATTTTAGAGAGATTCACATACTGTATTTATATTCCAGCAGGGTGAGAAAGCAGATGAAAATTCCAATGAGAAATCCACTGAGAACTCCGAGGGTGAGGACACATCGACGGAGGTTACGTCTGAGAACACCACCACCAAACCTCCTTCCACTTAATATAATGGACAAACCCAACTCCTGGTCATGGAAACTCAAGCCCTCAGTCCAACCAAGGCTATCCTAAGTTCGGTCCAACTTAAATCATCTTAAGCCCGGCCAACTTGAATCATCCTCAGCCCGGCCAACCTAGACGATCCTAAGTTCGGTCCAACCTACACCATTCTACGTTCGGTCCAACCTAAACCATCCTAAGCCCAGCCTACCTAAACCATCCTAAGCCCAGCCTACCTAAACCATCCTAAGCCCAGCCTACCTAAACCATCCTAAGCCCGGCCATCCTAAACCATCTAAGCCCGGCCATCCTAAACCATCCTGAGCCCGGCCATCCTAAGTCTGGTACAGCTTATAGCCAAGTTGGGAGAATAAAAAATATCAGTACGGAAAGGAGAAGAAATTAACAGGAAGAATTAAAAATATCAACAGAAAAAATCATCGGCAAATAAAAATCGGTATAAGGAAAGAAAAGAGAAGTAGGCGTCAGAAATAAACCTCCTCCATCCGTCTCCCTGCCTTCAGTGGCGCCAGAAACAGCTGTGACCTGAATACACGATAAATAAACCAAGACTGAGTTAATATAGTAATTGAATTAGTTTGAGTATTATTTTTATATTTCTAAAATTTCATGTTGTGGAAGATGTTTATTATTCACTGAAATCCTTCCACTTTAGTTATGCAATGAGCTTCAGGAATGTAAGAATGCCATCAAAGTGTTTATACAATATGTTAAGGGACTTTTTATATGTGGCTTCAGCATATATAAGTAAACTAAACCCACATAGACCTAGAATTAGCTTACTAACAAGGGGAGTGAGTGAGTATTCAGGGATGAATCGACCAAAAGGGACCGTTCCAGCCCATCGCCAATATTAACTTGAATGAAGAATGTAAATCAAATGTATTTCAAAGGTGATTTATATACAGTACAGTAGTGTATACATATTGATAAATTAACCGAGCAGAGAAAAGTTGGAGAGGCCTTGGTCAGCCTGATGGTCGATACGTCCTTGGTAGGATTAGTGTTACGTACTGTACTGTACTGTCCATTATTCATAACTATCCGTAAAGTATATATCCTATCTAGGCATATTAAATAGTACGTTACTTTAGATACATCAATTCTTTTCCAAACTATTCAATACACCTACCCTATAAAATGTTCAGCTAAGTATTAAAGGTGGTAGATGTATTAAATAAATTCAGCGCTGGTGAGACTAATAATTCCTGATGGAGAGTTGAATAATAAATTTGAGTTGTGACAAATTGAACACCAGCAATAGCTCACAGATGTTGGCAAATATTATAGAAATTTATCGTCAAAAGTAGAAAGTTTTGTATCGTGTTATCTGTTAATAATTAATTTGACCCATTAAAGCACTGCATTAGAAACTCCAATCTTGTTAATAGTGATCCTGAAAATATAAACTACACAATATACAGCAGTAAGTTAATACCTTATATCGCGATTATCAAAGAATGAAATATTAAAAAAAGTAACTGGTCTTTTTTTTTGGGCAACGCGTCTAAATTTATTATACTTTACTCTATTAAATACTTATTCAAAATGAACTTCAAATTACCAAATCAGAGATATCTTTATTAATCCATTTCTAAATGTCATGAAAATTTAAGGAAAACTCATAAAACTAATTGTCCTAATCTGGGTGTACTTCATCAGTTGGGGGATAGATAATCTTCAGGTGATCCCAGTAATATATTATGCTATCAACCAACACATTTCCTTCATTGATTAATAGATGTTACCAGAACCATTTATATGCAGGTGTTAAGCATCAGGTTTGTAGTTAATAAAAAAGTCATGTGTCCGTCATCGGCAAAACATTGGTTCACTTTCTCTGTGCCGGTAGGCCTATACTAGACGGAAGACCATGCCAGAACGTCAGCCCTGGCCTAGATGGCCCCGAGCCAGCGCCCTCTTTAGGGCTTCATATTGATCGTATGACCTAGTTACGGTTCCTTATGGTTCAAGGTGCAACTCTACAGTATGTGTTAAGAGGAAGGAGATGTAACAGTTTCATAATGCTGCAAACTTGGTAAATAAAGCTCCTGTTGCATAATCCGTAAGCTTTTTCAATAACCCCCCCATATTTTGAAATTAATTACTCTATTATTAATGTTGAAGAACGCATATTCTTTTTGATGCAGAAACCTCTTAAAATATTAGTCGATGAGTTCCGTAGAGTAGGCAATAACAGAGGCGGTGCTGGGTCGGTGACGTCACAGAAATGGGGGTCTACTTTAGTGACGTAGCAATGGTGGGCGGAGCGTAACGGGATCTCGCTGCTTAGTAACAACAGCGTACGCCACTACTCTCCCAACTACCGCCCGACACCCAACTGGTGCTCCTCAACCAAGTAAGTTCTCTTATGTAATAACCTTATTGATTTACCTATTAATTTATAACGTTATAGTTGATAGTGATTCATAGTTGCCTCATTTCTTCGACTAGGAGCACTAGACTGACTGAAGCAATTATGGTTCGTGAAACGTGTGTTGAAAACTCTTAATTTGAAATTCCTAATTATGTTCACAATATGATGAAGAATTCACTATCGTATATTGAACAGGTAGGGATTTCAAGGGGGTCTGGTTAAATAATTAGCCTCATAACACAGCTCATGAGACTTCCCTACTTGAATGTGTCTGTAAAGATTTAAGACTCACTTGTCTGTAAAGATTTAAGACTCACTTGTCTGTAAAGATTTAAGACTCACTTTCATTGATACTTTCGGACGCCTTCACGACTCAAAATACAGACGAACGCTTGACTCCACCAGAACCTGATAAATAATGTGTACGCATAGTCATAAAAGTAATACTCACGTTAGCCTAAAGATTGTATTACAAGTTTAAGCAGTTATGTTAAACTATTCAATGATGATTAGAGTATAGTGAGGTAGATAACGATGGTAGTTTAGGGGGGGGGAGTGGTGTAATAAAGAGTTGGAGAAGGATAGAACACAATAATTTCTCACCACACGACGCTGGGTCTAGCCTAGTGTGTATCATGTTCCCGCAACCTCCCTGACACCTACACCCGACACGAGGATATTATGTTCTTTCCTGGAGTGGGAACTGGTTGTCTTTAGTCATGAGTGTGACGCCCTTTCTCGTTCCTCCTGTACCCAAAATAATCTCAGTGCGTCTCTTGCAATACCATCACACTACCTTGTTTCAAGCAGTCTGAACTCTTGTGAGAAACTCTGCATCTTTTCATTAACTTTTGCTTGTAAAGAGATGGCAGGTACTCCCCCCTCCCCAGGCGAGAGTTTGACGAAGGTGGTCTCCCCTGACATATTAGTGACGCCCTTAACTTGTTGCAGAATGTCTGACGAACAACCCGCCGCATCTGTCGAGACTGAGGTTGCGCCCGCGTGCCCAGAGACCAACAACGCCTTCACACTGTGGTAAGTATTCACCATCACAAGTTTATTCCTTGACGAGAAAACCCGGCAGCCAAGTTCTTCTCATACGATTTTAAACGACGGACCGAGAACAATTGTTATCACCTTAATCCTACTCTTATGGCCCAGGCCAAGAATAAAGTCTCAGAATGAAGTAATTTACTACAAGTGTTCATTTCCGAGCCGTAAAAGTGTTAGACGATGAACTTATAGATATAGATCAAGGAACGTGGACAATGTTTACAGTGAACAGTGTACCGTACATCCACGGCTTAACCACACGACCTGGAAAGCGTATTAAAAGAATAAGTGGATTTAACCAAACAATGAATCAGTCCTCCCTAACATATATCTCAAACAGTTGAATGTTGTTATACGTATAATGTTAATGAACTTTGTCAAGCTCTTAATTACGCCTCGAGACATAATTATATTCCTAAACGTATTCTAAGTAGCTTGGTGAAATACAATATTTATTTGAAGGACAGGCAATATTTTTTAAGTTTTTATATGGGGAGTTTTAACCTTTTTTAGTCTGGGGGTAAAGACAAAAACCAGAGCGTATAAGTCGGCGGCTGTGACAATGAGGGAGGGGTGACGGGAAGCCTTATTGTGTGTCAAGGTTACGCCTCTGTGTATACCTAGGTCCATAAAAGAGATTTGGCTGTGAATGTGTACACCAAAAGTATTGTACAGTACTTTGGCAGAGTGGAGGTGTTCGTATTTCACTTTGGCTGTGTTTAACACCACCAACATACCAGCATTAGCTTGGTTACCCCCGCTCCCATCTTGTGTAATGACGCCTAATACAAATAAGGTAGACAATAGTGTTAAAGGAAACATTTAGAGTAACCTTATTTTATTTTTATATTTTATGAGTTACAACATAAAACATGCTCCTATGAACTCTTCCATCTCTAATACCTTCAAGGAAACTCCTAAAAATATTAAGGGACCCACAACCGTATTACTTACATCAGTGAACTTGTATACATCAACCTCTTTAAAGGGAAATAGTGAGGATTTCCTCTAAATTGTGCGGGGTGGCATCTCTGTGAGCCTGACGACAAGGACAGAAATACCTGCATGTGTGTCGTTAGTGCCGTGCTGTCGTGTATTGTATGGATGCCCAGTTTGTAATTTCAGTTGTGAAATTACCAAGACTTAGGTAAACAATTGACCGCCTTTTCTTCCTCAACTGTAAATTTACGTACCCATTTACAGGCGGATATCTATACATGATTACGTATAGAATTTTACGATGTGATATTTCTACATTGTCTTCAAATTAGTTGGCGATGGTGTACGAAATGCCCAACTCTTATAGAAGCTCCACAAGGCCCTCATGTTCTACCCTATCACCGCCCCCTCCCCCTCCGCCTCCCGGTGCCGGCGTGGTCGCTTACATAACCCCCACTGAGTGTGCGGTGTGCCAGCTCCCGCGATCAATATAAACTTCTCTCACGGCAGATAAGATTTTTGATCAGTTCACCACTACCTCGGTACTTATAGCGTGGCCAAGCAGTCTCAATGGTATTGTTATATTCTATTTTTGTTATAAACCAAGTAACATAATATCGTTTGACTATAAATCTTCTCCCAGCACTTACACGAGATATGGCGTATTCTTGCAGTGAGAGTACTGTACGTGCACGATTATTTCTCCGCCAAATACTTCTTACAGCTATTTTGTGCTAGTATACTTTATTTGGAAGAGCGGTTGTTGGCAGTTGGTGGTACTGGTGGAGGTAAGTGTTCATGTAGTGGCTGCAGGAGTAAAAAACATTCCTGACTTTGTACCTGCCATGAATTTATGAGTAGTGACTGCGTGTGTACTTGTCCACGACTGTGCACTTGTCCACGACTGTGCACTCGCCCATGAAATATGTATTTGTACCTGTTCATGACTGTGGGTACCGATGTCTGCCACTTAGATTTCCGTGTGTGCGTGACGTGCGAGTATGGGACATGACAACGATTTAAACACTGTAGAAGAGCACTGTCAGACTATGAGGGACCAGTGGTCTATATGTTTCCTCTGTACGCCTTACACTTTAGTTTATCCATGACTTTGAAATATCCAGAACATTGCCGCCATTCCTTTGCTCGAATACGCTGAATAGCTTCAAACATAAGTTGGATGCTTATTTGAGCAATAGGGGTTGGGTGTAAACGGGACTGCCCAGTATGGGCCAATAGGCCCGCTGCAGTTTCCTCCATTCTTATGTTCTTATATCGCCATAGACTTTATAAATGATGTATCGGAATGGAGAGCCTGCACATCAGTTAGGGATTCACTGCGCATGACATTGTGGATTTGGAGGATCATCTGCGTACGATTTAGGCCTATTCCGGACATGACTTAAGAAAATCTGCGCATGAATCATTGTGTTCGTAGTCCTGAGTAGGCTTATAACACATCTTAAAAATTTCGGGGGCCTTGTTTGGGCCCAGTAAGCATTATTGAAGGTCAAGGAGGAAAAATGAAGTTCAGGGAGCATAACGTTAATTCAACGAGCACAATCTAGGATTTTGAGCATAATTTAGGTTATCCCTGTACATGACGGTGTGTAAATGATCGTGGTGGGACAGCAGGAGAACTGGCACCTCCTCGCTGGGGTCGTCGTGACCTTGCCAGTCCCTTGGTTATGTAACACTGGTAGGGAGGACTAGTGGCGCCTGATACAGCAGCTTCAAGTCCACGCTGGCCTGCCTTAACCCTCCTCTCCCCGTTTGTGTGCGTGGGTGGTTATGTCGCAATGAATGACTGCTTGTGTGTGTAGTATATGCGTGTAGTAAATGCGTGCGGCAAGCGTGTTTGTACGTGCGTATAGTGTCTGTGTGCGTATGTTTGAGTATATCTACAGTATATTCCCATTTCAGTTTGTAGATACTAGGAGATTACAGTATATAAATTTCAATATTTATTCAAGTTATTTTACTCAGTGATATAATACTGTACTCGTTGGATTAATAAAATTTATTCCGGAAAATTAAGGACGATGTATCATTTAAAAGTTTTGTTTTAAGTTATTACACTGAGCAGACAATTTGTTATACAAAGAGGGCTTATTATTACATTCAATGGAATATTCCCTGATGTTTTAAGTTATTTTACCCAAAAGTAAAAATATCATTGGTACGCAATGAAACAAGGCGTTGAACCTAGAGTTTCATGTTGCACTTAGAATCGTACTCCCTAGGACCTCATCGTACCACTTTGACAGGGTCAGGATTCAAAACAATTCAGAGTTGTTGTTTTTGTCTTCTAACTGGTACAAACTGAACATAGAATGTCAGTGTAGTTTTCATGCAAATTTGGATGGATTTTTTTGTGATTCCGCGTAACCTTAAAGAATCCGGTCTCTGTCATTATGGGCCATTTCAAGGGTTCACGGGTGATGTAGTATTGTTGTTGAGCTTATGTGTATAGAGATGGTAACAGTGTATTTATGGGAACCAATATCACGAGTGCCATGTCATTTCAGGTGTGCAGTATGTTAAAGGTTCACAGTTGACACGATACCGGTGATTTTGGACACGTAAATACACTATCAAGGTTTCCTGTACATAAATAACTCGAAGACAGTAACATGCCACCTTTGAACCCGTAATGACTCCTTGAATTACCTTACTTATAACCACTAATTGCTTAAACCTTTCTCAGTTACTCTGACCCCAGGAAACAGTCATCAGTATTTTTTTATTCTGTACTTCAATCCATATTGTACACAAGAACAATACATAAATCTGATCTAAGCTGACTCACTCACTATGGCTGGCAATATCTATTAATAAATAAGTATCATGAGAGGCAGAGTACTGTGAACAACATGAACTCGCCTCCAGCCACACTCGAGCTGATGGTGTCTGGGCAAGGTTGAGTACGTGATGGAGGAAAGAGCCTGTTCCCCCACTGCGCTGCTCCCCTCACCCCTCTTTGTGCTCTTCACTATCACTGAGGTACTCGTAAGTACACTTTTTAGTGAACGCTCAGTACAAGTACACTGTCTCCGTTGTCAGTTCAGGGTTACCCAACTTAGAGAGAAAATTCTGTAAAATATGACAGGACCCAAGTTGCAAAGTATTGGTGTGTGACATATCGTCCGTTACTGATCACAACTCATTATACCGAGGGTTAACTTTTCTGAAGGTCTAATATAACCCTTGGACTAGTGGATTTTCGGAATATTGGATACTATTTTTAATCCTTTGAACTTAGCTGTCACCTTGTTTTATGGCCAAACTCCTCCAGTAATTATACTGCAACTATTTTATTTTCTGTTATAAAAGATATAGTAGTTCGGATTATAACTTCCTGTTATAGGAACTCGAGAAACGTGAGTAGATCATAATGAAAACGTTTTATGAACCGAATTTCATTAAACTTGTGATGACGAATTATCACTTTAGTACTAACAAAACTACAGGTTTCAAAGCTTCTAATGTTATCCAAATTATCCACAAGGAAGTGATGAAGAGATGGGGTTGGAAGTTGCAGCTTGAAGGTCACCACCATGAATATGTTAGCGGCGGCGGCGCGGGAGTTACGTAACGGCGCTGGCATGGCGGATGGAAGTAGGTTGTAGGGGCTGGGGCCAGCCCTTCTCTCAATATAAACATGCAGCAACGCCAGCGTAAACGTTTCCTGCGGCGACAGCGTCACCCCTCCACCTATATACTGTGGGCCAGCTATTTGGGTCTCGGCGCCATGGTGCAGGGGAGCTGACAAAACTTGGCCTTCTATGTAATTGATGATCAAGTAAGCTGTTGCTAGGAGACCAGATGTAGCAACCAGTCAGTTTGTGTTTTACCGTCATGAACACAGCTGAGGTGACCAGCCATCAGCACCACCCACTTATCTCCTATGAACTGGTTTGAAAATTACACTGCTTTCTTACGAACACTTAAAAGTGTGTTTTTAGCGCTATAGAAATATTTTAAGTATTTTGAAGTGATATTTACTGTGTTATTATCATAGTTACGGTGCGCAGTGTAAGTGGTATTGAAAATCTAAGTGATATAACGTTGACTGTAGTGTAGCCTATCTGCCAGCCGCCGGTAACAGATAACCGGTGTGGTAGACTCCACACCTGTCACCATGGGCATTAATTGTTACACAAAAGTAGAGGGCACATTACTCCCTAAGAGAAACACTCATGGTTGATGCTGACACTAGGTCTCTGGTGAATGGTGAAGGAGATACAGAACCAAATTTCAAACTTGCTGTGTGTTTTGTTAGTCATTCAGTGTCCCAGAGCTTCTTGGTTCATGTTGGCCATCAATTGCGATGAAGTCTGGACTATAAAATGATTTTTGGGGGGCGTGTGATCCTGACTTATAAGTTCTATGGTTAATAATTAAAAGGGCCTCGTCTTCTGCCTGCTGAACACCTCAAACAATATCTGTATAATGTTCCTGTTCGTTTTTCAGTAGTTTTGTTAAAATTACTGTATAATATTGTTTGTTCCATTCTTTCAATTTTGAAGATTTTCTATGTAAATCTTAAAAAGTACACACAAGACTTCACATATAAAATATAATTTGTTTGTTGCTTCTCCACAAAATGTTTGAGAGACGTGATCCTGATCCCCGTGACCGACACCAGTGAGCGAAGTTTTACCTGGTGTCGCTTGTGACCACCAGTCTAATTTGGCCGGACATTTAAGTTGGTTCCCAGCTTGGACTGGTTTTTTCTACGACTGAAGCTTCAGAAACCATACCAAGACTTTTCCTTTGTTTGATTATTATTCGGAGGGATCCTTAGAAACCCAGTGAGACCTTTTTTCTAGTCAGGTTTCTTCATGACCCCGGCAGATGAATGCTCTTTACAAGTTAGTAGAAGGTATACATAGATTTCTTACGTATCCTGTTCGCCAGTTGTCAGCTTGCTAATAAGTCGGTCAGTGCTCTGCTGCCCACTGTTGACAGGTACTACAGTATATAAGATTTTATAAAGGCATGTACGTGCTGGGATCGATTTTTCTCCTCACACATGGCCAGTTTCACCCGACGGTGTAAAAAATAGTCGTGGCGTTATCAGGGTTACTTCAGAGGCAGGAAACATTGTAATGTGAACGGTCAGGGCCGGTGGGTGAAGGCTGGTGGTAAGCCTAACCATGATCTAGTTAGATCATGAGCCAAACTAGCTATCAGCTGGCGGGGTACTCGGGTACAGCTACACCTGGCGGCCCAACTGAAAGTGAAAGCGTGTACAGTATTCAGAAACAACATTATAAGTACACTTATTTCTTATTAAGTTATTCAAATGTCAACGTACGGGTGTTGTCTATTATACCACGACTTTTCCTCATGGTAACTGTGTTGAACTGTACATGTCAAGGGTAAATAGTCTATTGGGCTTAGGTTTATTTCCATTGATTTAGGTGACATATTCTGTCACACCGATATCCTGGTGTCATATTTAGACAACAGGAAGTTAGGGACGAACGTCATCTAATTAATGGGTTCCATGTATCATCTAAAGTTTAGGCACTACAACATCATATTAGAACTCGTTTATATTACCCCTTCGTTTGTGTAATTTATTGAAAATGTCAATGAAAACGGGATCAGCTAAAATAGGTCATTGACTAAACTAAGCAGCACTACAAAAATCTAAATCCCTCGAGGAAAACCTCCAGTAATGTTGTCAAGTTAAGAAAGACAAGATCTGGACATAAAACAGTAAAAAGCGTATGTTTTGTTATGTCATGAATCACCTCGTGAGTTAGGATAATCCCGCCATGTACTGTACGTGTCAGTACAGGACCATGGATTCGTAGGATTGCTCAGTTGTGCGACGTTCATACTAACTTGTGGCTCGTGGAATAAACTTTTATCTTTCAAATCCACTTTACCTCATCTTACAGATAATTTTCTTAAGAGGCTTAACCCTGGGACCGTTAAAAGTGAACCTGGCAAATTTTCTGACGGGATGCATAAAACAAATTGAATGTCTTGAGAAGAAATTAAACCAACAGGCTAACAGACGACGGATAAATGGCTGGCTTAGATAAAGAACAAAACGTTTGGGCACATTTCACCCGATAATTAAACACCCTAACGCTACATGGGGTGGGGGGTCACCTCACTGACTGAACAAAAATTTCCTTAATTTTGTACTAGGGCAGGGGTTCTCAACCAGGGGGGAATTTCCCCCCTCAGGTTTTCAGGTGGGGGGGGGGGGAACTGATACTAATATGGAAAAAATAAAGGATTTTCAGTATTATATGCATATTATTTGGAATGCACTTTTTGAGGCAGACAATCTTGGAAAGGAGGGGGGAATGACATTCTGACATATGGTGAAAGGGGTGCATGGGGCAAACAAGGTTGAGAACCACTGTACTAGGGAATTATTTAACCTGGGAATGACGCACCCCTTGACCTATTTTTTTTTCTCGTGGGATAAAGGTGTAGTGGTGCAGGTGCATTATGTTCCACCCTCTGGATTAAGGACCATTATTACTACTGGTACAACTCTTTATCTCCCCTTATCTTATCAGTTGCCCGGCTTCATCACCAACTCTTACAGTGTCTAACCAGGAATGCATTTTGAACTATACGGTGTCTCGGAAAAAATTGTATACACACTGTTTTGCGTATTATCTAAAAATATCGTGTTAATGCTGGTATTGATTTAGAAATTTTGTCCTCACTTGTTGATGTGTACTGTCTCCTACAATTGAGGACAGTGTAATTGTAATTTAAGCATTCACGCGATCTCCACGAAAATCTGTAAGATATCTTTTAGAACCTGTTGAATCCCATATGAACAGTTCAAGATTTTATTGAAGAATATTATTAATAGATAAATTGCCATCAGACAATAGAAGTGTGTTAATTATCTTGTGATTAGTTTAACAGAATATGTAGTAATTTGGCTGCCAGCACCAGGTGAAATAAGGGTCCGGTATAACTATTAACTACACGGCTCATTTTTCAGCGTGACGGAGAATGGAGAGACCAACTGTGCGGCACTGTTGGAGGCCCACCAGGAGTGTCTCAAGAAGCTAGGTCTTCAAGGTTAAGGTGAGGGCCACTCGCTGCCTTAACAGTTTTAATTTAATACTCCCCAAAATACATACGGTAGAATGGAATAAAGCATAATTGTTTTAAATACAGAGGAGTTAGATTACATATATTTATTTTGTGGTTTGAAGAAGGATGAATGTCATATCCGCTAGCCAGAACTTTCCCGTATCCGCATATCACATCCATTCTCTAAACCGGAATACGATTAGTACAGTAGTTGTGCCGGTAACTAAGCTTAATGCTGGCAATTATTTAACGTAAGAACAAGAGTTTTCTGTGGCAATAATAAGCCTAAAACGTAACCTATCTGAGCATGAAGTTTATTATTATTATTATCAACGCAAAAACTTAAGTTTGCTAATATTTATGTAGTGATGGTATTAATCTTGTAAGTGATTTATGAAATATTTTATTACAAATATATAATATAGTTTTATTATGTTTCAGGTTGTTAATAAAGTTAATTGTGTTACAGGTGGTGTAGGAGCAGCCCGGGGTGATGGCTGGAGACCACTCCCGGTTTGGCCGTTGTTCCAGTCTTGCCTCGGATGACACTCTTGATCACCAGCAATTTTATAAATATATTTGTTAGTTTAGAGAAAATACTCTAACCCTTCCATTTATGACAATAAATAAATACACGGTAGGATCCTCCTCAAAGTCATGTATATTATGTTCCATATTAGTGAAATACAAAATAAACTTTCATTTGTTGAAAGTTGATGCACTAAACCATGGTAGAGCTCACGTGTTCTCCGTCAGGTACTACTGTAGGGACAGGTCTCAGTCCACGGTTATCCTACATTGTGTGGGGTCTATCCATAGGCCACATTCGTCCTGGGTTGTGATATGTCTTGTGTTGACACTTTAATTGCTTAGAAATAAAGAGGGATTTTTTTGTGGAGTATTATTCTTTCTCCTTAATTGTTTATGCTTTTCCCTAGCTGTTATCTTTAAATATCAGGGGACATATACCTACCATAGTCACTTAGATTTATACAAAAATTAAATAAGAATAACTTATAATGTGTAATTCGTACTTGAATTATTATCTGGATAACTAATTGTACTTATATATATATATATATATATATATATATATATATATATATATATATATATATATATATATATATATATATATATATATATATATATATATGTATATATATATATATATGTGTGTGTATTGATAAAATCACACAGGGAAAGGGGAAACAATGGAGAACCTTAGCTTCCGTCTTTATTCAAAACATCTCCAGAGGCAACTGAATTACAGAGACAGAGGGAGCTTATAAGAACATAAGAAAATAAGGAGTCTGCAATAGGCCGGTTGGCCTGTGCATGGCAGCTTCTGTCGAGAGTTACTACCACTCTCTATCATCCATGAATCTATCTAGCCTCCTTTTGAAACTTTCCAGAGTTCCCGCTTATACTACAAAGTTGCTAAGCTTGTTCCACTCGTCCACCACCCTATTTGTGAACCAGTTTCTTCCTATCTCCCACCTAAACTTATCCAACTTGAATCCGTTGCTCCGAGTCCTATCCTGCTCGGATATTATAAGAACTTTATCTATATCCCATTTATTGGTGTGCACAGGGTGACTTTACAAAACATTAGGTCAGGTCAAAAGTCATGACATCCACACAGCAAACACAACTTATGTTTGCTGTGTGTGGATTAGTGGATGTCTTGATTTTTGACCTGACCTCATGTTTTGTAAGGTCACCCTGTGTACATAAGCTCCCTCTGTCTCTGTAATCCAGTTGCCTCTGAAGATGTCTTGAATAAAGACGAAAGCTAAGGTGCTCCGTTGTTTCCCTTTTCCCGTGTGATTTTATCAAGATTTATCTTATCCACGTTTTCATTGTGGATCTACATGATATATATATATATATATATATATATATATATATATATATATATATATATATATATATATATATATATATATATATATTATGCAAGTAAATCACTGTAGGTGCGCGTGATCCAAGTACATGCTGATAACCACAAGAAAACACGAAGTTCTCAAGTGCTTTCGTGCAATTCACATCTTCAGGGGTGAGTACAGACTAAGGAGAAATACTTGACAAGGCTAATATATACAGCTAATAATATTAGCCTTGTCAAGTATTTATCCTTAGTCTGTACTCACCCCTGAAGATGACAACAGCCAATGACAACCATTACAGATATTCGAACAGTCATACTATAACGTCACCTAAACGCCGAACTGCATTGCCTTCCGTACGTGTTTGTGAGTAGTGTGCCACTGAGAGCTAGTGAGTAGTCTGAGCAAAACAAGATTCTGAAAAGCTTAAGAGTGAACGGGCATAATCTCAAAAGAGGAGCTTGGAATGTGAGGACATTATACAAGAAAGTAAGAAGTACTGTAGAAAGATGTTTGCAGGGAGATAAAAATATTGCAGTGTGACATTTTGTCAATAAGTAAAATAAGGCAGTTAGGTTCAAATAGCACAAGTGGAGATGAGCGTCACTTTACATAATTATACAAGCAGTTAAACGAATGAAAAATGAAGATCATCTTGTGGTACAGAAGTTGATAATTTTGTAGTGGGACCTTGGGCAGTCATACAAAGTTGTGTAAGTCAAATTTTATGTGAAACGCGTCGACTTGGTTATAATTCAAGCTTATGTACTGTACCACCAAATGACAAGGGGGAATATTTATAAAAACGAAGGAAGATCTAGTTTAACTGATGTATATTGGTAAAATTTTATTTTCGGGGTCATCCCTGTATTTATATACCCAAACTAACCAAACCTAATGTAACATAACCAATTCCCAGAATAACAGAAACTAAAATAAAACCTTTTTTTTTTTGCTTATTCTGATAATGTTTTAGTGCAAACGTGGCACAGTAGTCTTACTTACTGCACAGGAGGAGGAACAACAATATGACAATGTTACGCCTATATAATTTTTCATTTTCTATGATTCTCAGTATACTAAAGAAAACGAAATTGTCATTTAAATCCACTATATTAAGGTTTTGTAATACATTTCTGCGAAATCTGATGACATCTTATTGTTTATTATTATATTTTTAATAGTTATGAAAAATTGGAACATATGTATTTAACGGCGGTAATACTGCACCATAAATTAAATACTTTTACAAGAATTCTAGAAGATTCTGGAAACAGCTGTGTGGCAGCACTCTCTGGGAGGACGGAATGTTCTAGAACATTCTGAACCTTCTCGATAACACGAAGTAACTCTTGAGTCACAGATAAAAGAAAACTGAAATAGTTTAGGGTAACTTCATATTACAGTAATATAACTTAGAACTACAAAATCAAGGTCCAAATCATTGGCAAAGCTTTGAAACAATAATATTGGTATTGCGATAAGGTGGGGGGAGGGGGGGGGCCTCTCGCTGTTGTCTCCCGTGTTTTGATTCCCTGGTTCAGAACAGACGTGAGAAGGGTGATATTCAGTGAGCGCCTATCAAATATCGCAGATTTCTTCGATTTCCTCCTGTATTAACAGTAGATAAAGGTTGTAACAAAATAACATAGAATTGACTGACTGAACGGCAAAGTCAGTAGAAAAAATGAAAGAATGTATAGCTTTCCTGAACTGTTAACATGATCATTATTACTTACAGTACTTCTGTTGTTTGCCTTGGAAAATGAAGAGAACCTGTCAGTCTCATCCACCCATTGGGGATATTATGTCAACAACGAGATCAATAATACGAATGAACGAACATGTAAAATTGGCAATTTGGTATTTGTACAAATTTAACAAACCAACTGTGGGTACCTGACGTTGTTGCCTGTGTTTGTTGTTTCAGCTGTTAAAAATTGCGGTCGTGCACACAGGGCCTATGAAGTGTGTACTTTTTTTTTTATGGGGATTAGCCCACCCGGGCACAGGTCACTGGCCCACGTACATGTAGATATCTTGTAGCGTACTGTATGTGGCCAGTAGTCAATTCTCTTTAATTGTCTATTGTCCCTTTGTATGGGCACACAAACGTACGTACATGTAGATATCTCACACTCAGGAATGAGGTAGAATAGAAACTCATAATGCGTTTTCTGTATATATATTGTTGTACAGAGTAGTGCTAAGGAGTTACTAGGTGAGGTGTAGCTTGCTCAGAGTTCCTGTAGGGCGAGGAGCTCTCTGAGGAAGCTGGGTGGTGAGGTGCTGGAGAGAGATCTTGCTGTTTATGGCAAAGTGTGGCAGGTCTCTAATAATGTCAAGTGCCAGGCCTGTCACTAGGAGGAGGGATATCTGGTCAGGGAGGGAAGAGGTGTTGGTAAAGGCTGGGGACCTGTAGGAGGAGGTCATAGGGCAAGTGAGGATGTGGTGAAAGAGGGTGTGAGAGTCGGTTGACCACAAAGTTTACAAACAGTGCGGCCAGGCTCAGGGATGCCAATGTACTAGGCGTGGCGAAGTACAGTGGAGGTGATATGGTGTGGTGGGGCAGGAACAGTAGGGGTGGAGGGAGGCACATAGGCATTGACAACATTGAGGGACACACCTTTTAGTGTAATTGTGATGGTGTGTGCGTCGACATGTCGGTGGGGTACGCTGTAGAGAGGTCTTGCAGGTCCAGTAGGTCAGAGTAGAATGGTCTCCCTGGCCAGCCACGCCCGTATTTATGCAATTCTGCCAACTCAGGAATCGAGGCGAGCGTAGCGCGGGAGCCTCTCCTGGAGTTGCTACGTGTGCGTCCGCACTGGGGAGTACAACTTTGGAGCTTCTAAACTTGGAAAAGCGAGACCGAACTCTCTGACCCTCTCTCACCATGAACGGTTACGAGTTTGACAACGTGGCGCGGATACGCCGACCTGCCCCAAGAAATTAAACCTCCTAGTTCTCAAGAAGTTCTTTAAAACTAATGGGATCATGGGGGTCACCACGGTGGAACGACTGAAGCTCCATGGTGACATCAAGATCACCTTCGCCGAGAAGGGTATGCCCGTACAGCTCGCGGAGATCCCCGACATCAACGGCATCCCAATAAAAATGATTGCCTACAAATGGGACAACCTGAAGCTGGGAGTAATCTACCACGCCGAAATTGCCCACGTGGACCAAGCAGAGCTGAGTGAACTCCTCAAGGGACAACTCCAAGTTGTCAAGAAGCTGTCCGACACCACAGCCCTCATCGGACACCATACAACCCTTCCCAAGGAGGCTCAACTGGCATGGGTAATTGTGCCAGTCAAGCCCTACTGCAGACCGAAACGCTGCTACAAATGTCAGCACTACGGTCACACTGTCAACACGTGTGAGGCGCAGGAGGACACCTGCTCCCTGTGCGGCAGCCACGGACACCGCTACACCGTCTGCCCTAACACTGAAAAAATGCGCTGCCTGTGGCGGCCCACATTCCTCCGCCGATTGGACCTGCCCCAAATGGAAGGAGGAATGCAGGATAGCCAAGGCACGACTTGACAAGAAACTGAGCTACAAAGAGGCCCTCCTTGCTGTACGTGCCCAAGACAAGAAAAAACCAGAAGAAAAAAAATCAAGAAAAGTAAACCCAAGAAAAGGCACGCCACAAAGAATAAAGCATGGCGAAATTTACCTCCAGGATTATTATAAGATATTGGCGAGTAGGGTTAAAACCGAGATAAGGAAAGCCAAGAGGAATAATGAGGTAAGGATAGCAAGGGAGGCGAAGACAAACCCCAAAGGATTCTACCAAATGTATCAAACTAAAACATGAGAAAAGATTGGACCAATACGGTCAGATACCGGCGAGCTCACTGATAACGACGGAGAAATGAGCAATAATTTGAATAAATATTTTTCAACAGTTTTCACCACTGAAAATGTAAACGTGATACCCGAGGCACCGACTCTATTCAGACATAGTGAAGAAAACAAATTAAGCGAGATAGTAGTGACT